GTCAGTCAGTACTTTTTTTTTTTTTTTTTTTTTAAATAAAGCATAGCATCAAAACCTCATCCTGATGGTTGATGCCTCATCCTTCAAAGAGAAGCAGTGTTGACTTTTATGTACAATCACTTCAGAATGTGGTAGCTAAGGTCAATTTGCTTTTTTTGGGGGGGGGTTCAGACAGGGTTTCTCTGTGTAGCTTTGGGGCCTATCCTGGAACCCGTTCTGTAGACCAGGCTGGCCTCAAACTCAAAAGAGATCTCCTGCCTGTGCCTCCCGAGTGCTAGAATTAAAGGCGTGCACCACCACCACTCAGCTTGCTTCTGGTTTTAATGACTGTTGCCAACACACAAATTTTCAGGGGGGAAAAAATTCTGGCTCAGCCAGACAGTGGTGGCGTACGACTTTAATCCTAGCACTTGGGAGGCAGAGGCAGATGGATTTCAGTGAGTTTCAGGCTAGCCTGGTCTACAGAGTGAGTTCCAGGACAGCTAGAGCTGTTACACAGAGAAACCCTATCTCGAAAAACTGAGAAAAAGGAAAAAAAAAAAAAAAATTCTGGCTCATAGAGCAAGGCAGATGAAACTAGAATTCTTATAATCCTTTACAAGTTTCATACACCCACAAGCAAAAACCATGTTTTAAATAAATAATAGCAGGCTGGTCTTTAGTAAAAATATTTTCATGTGAATTTTGAGAAGTCAGTTCTTGAATGTTTTGTGTTTGCTGATATTAGAGCACAATTTTCTAACTACCATTATTACCATTAGCAGATTATCCAACCTTTCTCATTCTTAGTTCTGTGAAATGAGGGTAGTGGTGATACCTGCCTATTAGGCTTGATTTGATTGTAGTAGGAGTACAGGATACAGTGAGATCTCTGCTGTTAGTTGTTATTACTGAATCCTAATCAACTCTTCAAAATTGTATATAGCAGGCCTCCTATCTGGCTTGGATGTAACCACTTAAGGAATAATGGTTTCTTTCTTTCCTTTTTTTTTTTTATTTTAATTTCTCTTTTTTTTTGTTTGTTTTTGTTTTTCTGTGTCACACTGGCCATCCTGTAACTTGTCCTATAGACTAGGCTGGCCTTGAACTCAGAGATTTGCTTGCCTCTGCCTCCCAAGGACTGGGCTTACAGGTATGTGCCACCACCACCCAGAAAATTTCTTACTTAAGATTTATTTATTTTATTATTTTATGTACATGAATGTTTTGCTTGCATGTGTCTGTGCACCATGTGCATGTCTAGTGCTAGGGAAGGTCAAAAGAGGTCTTCGGATTCCCTGGCATTGGAGTAAAAGGTTGTGAGCCACATGGGTGCTAGAAATCAAACTCTGGTCCTCTGCAAGAGCAACATGTGCTCTTAACCATTGTGCCAATTCTCCAGGTCCCCCCACTTAAAGATTTATTTATTTTATGTATATAGGTGTTTTGCCTGAGTGTATGCCTGTCTCATGTGAGTGTAGTGTCTGAGGAGGCCAGAAGAGAGTGTCAGATCCTTTGGAACTGAAGTTATTGTTATATATGGTGTGTGTGTGTGTGTGTGTGTGTGTGTGTGTGTGTGTGTGTGTGGTTGTTAGCTGCCCATGTGAGTACTGGGAATCAAGCCTGGATCTTCTGGAAGAGCAGCCTATACTTAACCACTGAGCCATCACTTCAGCATCTAAGATGTAATAATTGTAGGGTCTGAGTCATTTGTGAGCTAAAACTATGTCACTTTATGGAAAATGTAAATTTCTTGTGCTATTACTCTGCTAAGTATTCATTCAGCATATTTCCCAAGCACCTTTCTACTATTTTCTGGTTGCTGCTGGACATTAAACACAGTGGTAAGCAAAGTGTGTCTGGTGTCTGCCACCTCAGAGTTACGTAGACCACAGACACAGTTCAGCTGTGGACACCGTGGAAGACTAACTATACACCATGCTGTAATAACTCTTGAGTGCTGCTTGAGGGCACTTCACGCCTAGAAGCCATGTAATCTGTCTTTATAAACTACAGAACATGTATTGTTCATTCTGGTCAGCTGCAAAAGGCACTAAAAATGAAAATGATTATCATTAGTTGGTATTGGGAATTTAAAAAATGTATAGCATGTGCATATGACAAGAATCTGTTAATATATTGAATGAAACTGAAATAGGAAAGGTTGATTTTGTGGTTTGGGGTACTGGGAAGAGAACTGGACCTAATCCAAAAGGTGATTTATATAGGTAGTCAAGAAGGAATGAGAATAAAAGAAATAATTAATAGGGTTCTGATGATAGTTTCATGAATTCAGCCTTGTGAAAATTGTATACATTAAAATATGTGAAAATTTTTAAAAAGATGTAAGTTATACATACCTCAGTAAAGCTTTTAACACACATCCTCTGTGTGTGTTTGTGTATGTGTATGTGTATAACAGGCAATGTCTTAGTCTCTTTAGCTTTGTAGGTGCTTATGCACCAACCATTGTGTTCTGATTGCTTTGCACAGTGCTTCCGTAGCCACATTTGTGAGTATGTAGGATGCACTTATTAGATGGGTGTGTGAGAGAGAAGAGATGAGACTAACCCTTTGCAGAAAAGCCAGATGCCAAAGATGAATTAGACGTCTATTTGTGGTTGAAGAATCGGTGTTTTGTGCTTCCACTTACTCAGAGGAGAATTCTGGCTTTTTGGAAATACTTACCAAAATAAAGAATTCCAGATGGGTACTCACTAGGCATTTGTTTTGTGGGCATGGTGTTTTAGTTATTGCCCAGTGAGTGGAGGTAGCAGCAGGTCAGAGTTGCTTCCAGAGTATGAACATAAATTCTATTTGACCCAGAAGCCTTCTACTTGCAGTGTCAGAAACAGTTCCAGGGTTTTCACTGGTGGCTTCCCTTACCTGAGACAGTGTGGATTTAATTTACCTGTTTGTAATTACAAATCTACATGTTTCCTTGATACAACTCATGAATGAATGGTGCTTCATGTGTTACGGAATGCAGAAATGAGCACTGTCTATGCGGAACCCAGGAGCAACACAGCCTGGTTAAGTTCCCATCTTAGAACACTAAGTTTGAGGTACATCCAGGACTGGGACCCCTTGTCCCTTCTTGAGGAGGCTCTACTTCATGGTACCATGGCTGCTGGTGTAATTGAAAGGCAAGCGGTTTGTTGAAGAAGTGCAATGGCAAATTGGAGTTAGTATTTGGGAAAAAACTACCACTGGCATGTTTTATTTTTCATTGAGTTGGGGAAACATTCAGGGTTTGTAAGCAGAGAAAGCTAGGTTTTTATGTCAGGAAAAAAGCCGTGGAAATGGAAAGTAGCCACTTAGTGAGGGGATATTGTAAGTTGTAAAGTGCATGAGCAGAGGCTGTAATCCCCAAAGGAAATCCAAGGGTATGCTAGACAGACTGACTGAAGGACAGAGGTGCTGAGGTGCTAGAAACAGCAAGCAGCTGATGTGTCTGGAATTGAACAAGACCTAAGAGTGCTCTGATACTCTGAACTGGAAACCTTTGAATGAGGTCTCCAGCATCTGAGCATTGGGTGCTATTGTTATTGTAACGTGTGAGTTAATGATTTAATGAGCACTCAATGTGTACCAGCCTTTGTGCTGAGTGCCTTAAGCCAGTAACTTCATCATTTTATTTTTTAGATTATGAATATCTGAATTTCTTTCTTTTTTAAAGTACTGGCAAATAAAAAACTTCATGCAGATTTAACCAGAGCCTAGGTCTATAAACCTGAGTGAACTGCTCTACAGTTAGAATAGCCATTCTGACCCTGTGGAGCTTCACATTGGATTTTACACTTTGACTACCAAATAAATATACTTTTATGCAGTTATCCACCACCAAAAAATGAAAAATTCTGCCAGGTGATTGTGGCACACACCTTTAATCCCAGCACTTGGGAGGCAGAGGCAGGCAGATCTCTGAGTTCAAAGACAGCCTGGTCCACAGATTGAGTTCCAGGACAGCCAGGACTACACAGAGAAACCCTGTCTCAAAAAAACTAAAAAAAAAAAAAAGAAAAAGAAAAGAAAAGGGAAATTTCTGTTTACTTTAAAAAGTGAGACCGGCCGAAGTCACTTCCAGGTGATGTTTATAGAGATTAAATAACTACACAGCTGTCAGTGGGATGTTGGACTCAAGCCCCAGTGGTGTTAGCACAGGTGAGAGCCCTGTGCTAGAAGTGTCAGCATCACCTGTAGCCCCCTGTAGTAGCTCTGGGGAGTTCTGAAGCTGCCATCCCGCCGCCGAGGTGATAGGGAGGCTCTCAGGAATGGGAGCGAGTAGCTCTGCTGAGAGGAGTGTAAGGTGTTTGTAGCTCTGCTGAGAGTGTAAGGTGTTCTCCTGCCTTAGTGGATGCTCTAGCTTTCTCCTGTGCTTCAGGAGCTCTGGCTGCTGCTAGGAGGAGCTTTAATGTTTCTGTCTCTTGCTTATGTGCTTGGAACTTTATAATTAAAATGTTTCCCTCTACATTATATTGAATTTGTAAATCTATAAATTGGGATTTGTGCTAGGTCACACAGGAAATGACTGGTTATACAGTTGTGAGATTGAACTTGGTGAAATGAAGGAGTCTGTCATTTGCAGTGCGTAACAGCTTTGTGCTTAGAAGAAACTGTAAGAGTGACTTAGGTGGAGTTCTGACTACATCGGCTTTGTGTCTTTTTGAGCCTCATTTCATCCCAAAGGTGTGTGTGAATAGCTAGGCTTGGCCTTTTTTTTTTTGGTTTTTCGAGACAGGGTTTCTCTGTGTAGCTTTGCGCCTTTACTGGAACTCGCTTTGGAGACCAGGCTGGCCTCGAACTCACAGAAATCCGCCTGCCTCTGCCTCCCAAGTGCTGGGATTAAAGGCGTGCGCCACCACCGCCCAGCTAGGCTTGGCCTTTTAATCCTATGTTCTCTTAACATTAATTTAGGTTTTTTGTTTTTGTTGTTTGTTTTGTTTTTACTATAAACTGACAAAGCAGCATTTGGTTGAACTTAGGATACATATATATGTGTGTGTGAACATTTTTTCTAGGTCCCAACAACTAAGGTTTCAGAGCTAAACCCTAATGCGAAAGTATGGGGGACTCATATGTTACATTTGGAAGCGAGTAGTGCGGCTGTTGGTGTGAATGCCTCGTGGGAGGAGGCCCCCGGCCATCCTGCAGACTGCGACCAGCAGGGTGAGTAGTGAGCCTGCTTTTTTTTTGGTGTTTTTTTTTTTTTTTTTTTTTTTGGTTTTTCGAGACAGGGTTTCTCTGTGTAGCTTTGCGCCTTTCCTGGAACTCACTTGGTAGCCCAGGCTGGCCTCGAACTCACAGAGATCCGCCTGGCTCTGCCTCCCGAGTGCTGGGATTAAAGGCGTGCGCCACCACCGCCCGGTGTGAGCCTGCTTTTAAGTCTTTGCCTTCCTTAACATTTTAATCTGTCTTCTCCATTCACATTTGTGTCCTGGTTTGTGACAGTATTTAGAGAAGCGGCTCTCAGCCTGTGGGTTGCTACCCCTTTGAGGGTCAGACAACCTCTTCACAGGGGCCAGCCTAAACCCATCAGAAAACACAGATATTTACGTTATGATTCATAACAGTAGCAAAATTACAGTTATGAATAGCAATGATTAATTTTATGGTTGGGGGTCACCACAACATGAGGAACTGTATTAAAGGAGCAAAACATTAGGAAGGTTGAGGACCACTGAACTAGAGCCTTGGAAGCTTTTACAATCCAGTTAAAACTTTGAGTAACCACCAATGTAAGCTTTATTTTAAGGGAAAGTTGTTCTTCTAACACAGGCTTTTGGGATAAACTTGCAATTACAGGATTGGATACCAATGGCGATGGTGACAAAAGTCATGAGAATGCCGCACTGTCAGACTTAGAGGAGGCAGACCAGACAGACATGAGCACTCTGGCTCTGGATCATTCGGAATATGAACCTCTGCCTGAAAGTAATGATACGGGTAAGCCTGCTTTATGGATTTGTTTTTTACTTATTCAGTTTTAAAAATGAGTTTCTTACTCTGTCTTTAAACAGTGTACTTTTCATTGCCTCCTTTTAATGTTCCTTGAAACTAATCGATTCAGAAATGAGACCCTGGAGGGGAAGGTGTGCTGGAGATTATCAGTTAGCTTCGGAGACAGATGGCTTCGAGTTAGGAGAAGCACAAGGTTGTTGACAGGGTCAAGTGTTGAGATGGACAGAGATGGAGAGTTAGTGCTGGAACTGAGGGTTAGACATGTTGGATGGGCCGAGTGTTAGTTACCGAGATTATACAGTGGTGGATGAAGCAATTGAAGCTTCACTGCAGAGTCTTGGAAGCCAGATGGTTTGACCTGTGCCCTTTTGTCATTGTGGTGAGTGGCAGGAAGAAAGTAAGAAGCTTGGGGAAGGAAACCTATTGAACACATTTTTCTCTTTTTTATTTTCTTTTTTTATTGTTGCACTGTGTAATTGCCTCAGGTTTTAAATCAAGTCCTGTCTCCTCAGTCTGCATTGCTCACTGTCAGCTTTTGGAAGTATAGGGAAGCATTGTCTTAATGAGCAGGAAATGGAGTTGGCCGACCCGAAGATGCCAGTATGAGACAGTGATCCACAGAAACCACATTTAGTTTAAGACTATCAGATACAACAAAATTCAGCATTATCACTTAAGTGGGAAATGTGTTTTATAAGCACCAGGTCTGTTTTAAACTATGTTAGAGCCTACTGCTTTAAATCTTTGGTCAATTGGCATGGGAAAGCTTGCCCCACCCCTCACCATGGAAAGAGCTGGCTCCGCCCCTTGCCTGAGAGAAGTGGTCCCAATGGCCTGGATTAATGAACTCAGCTGTCACTAAGGCACACATCCAGGGCACACCCCAACATCTACCCCATCTGTGACCTGCTGGAGTGTGTGAAGGGACTGATCCTAGCTGCAGGATAGCCATGATTCCCGGCAACAGCAAGCTATCGGAGAAGAATGTCGGTGGGGGGTCCAGTATTGATGGTATGCCAAGGCCAGAGGCCTTGAGATTGACCAATAACTCATGAACATTTTCAAGTAAAGCTGTTTGGACAGAGGGATGTACTGTATGATGCACAGCAGCTCCCAATGCCACTAGGATGAAGAGGTGGGAAAGACTGAGGAGCAAAGTGTTTTTCTTTTTCTTTTTTATTATTATTTATCTTATTTTTATTATTTTTGGCTTTCTTTGGCGGGGGCGCTGCAGGTGGGAGGGACATATTCAGAGGGACTGGGAGATGAGTGGGATTGGGGTGAGTTTCCAATCAATTAAAAATAATAACAATGAAAAAGAATTTTTTTTATTTTTTTGAGGCAGGGTTTATCTGTGTAGAATTGTGCCTTTCCTGAAACTCACTCTGTAGCCCAGGCTGGCCTCGAACTCACAGAGATCCGCCTGCCTCTGCCTCCCGAGTGGCGTGCGCCACTACCACCCAGCAATAAATAATATATATTTTTTTTTTTTTTTGGTTTTTCGAGACAGGGTTTCTCTGTGTAGCTTTGCGCCTTTCCTGGAACTCACTTGGTAGCCCAGGCTGGCCTCGAACTCACAGAGATCCGCCTGGCTCTGCCTCCCGAGTGCTGGGATTAAAGGCGTGCGCCACCACCGCCCGGCAATAAATAATATTTTAAATGTGAAAAAAATCTGTAGTCAAATGAATAAGGTAAGAACTTAAAAAAGAAAAAAAAATCACATTGGTTTCTGGCAAGTATGAATTAGCCTTGAATTTAAGTGATTTAAACCTCCATATAAGCAAGGGTTCACCAGCATGTAGCAATTTGATTTGATCAGCTCCTTCTTATTAACCCACCACTAATTGGTTAATGCCTCAGAAATGACAAAACATTGGGATAAACCAGAGTGATGGTGAGGTTGACTTTTTGATGGCAAAACAAGGGAATGCTGGAATTTTTTGGGGGGGGGGGTTTCGAGACAGGGTTTCTCTGTGTAGCTTTGCGCCTCTCCTGGAACTCACTTGGTAGCCCAGGCTGGCCTCGAACTCACAGAGATCCGCCTGGCTCTGCCTCCCGAGTGCTGGGATTAAAGGCGTGCGCCACCACCACCTGGCCTGGGAATGCTGGACTTTTAAAAGTACATTTCAAAAAAGAATAACAGGTGGGGATCCTAATAGTAAAATCAAAACCATCAAAAATAATTTAAACTTTGGACTGTGTCTAAATCTCAAACTGGGAACAGAAAGTATGCAAAAGATACAAAATGGGTAGTATCAAAAAAAATAATGTGTTAAATATATCTGGAAAGTCTAAATTCAAAAGAAGTTGGTTCTTTGTAAAAGGAATAGTTAAAGCTATTCTTTGAAAAAAAAACAGGAAGACTTGAGTTCTCTTTGGAAGCCAGGGTATGTGCCTATGTGAAATGCTCATAGGTTGTGGGAAGCCATTCCTTGTCTCCAGTCTTGTTTCTGGTGTGATCCACAAAATCTAGTCAGTCTGTAAAATACTGACGTGCGCACTGGTTCGACCCCAGCACTGTGGAGGGAAGGAAATGAAGGGAAGGGTAAGGAGAAAGGACCGGTGAAGCCCTCTCCACTGCAGTGGGTCAGCAGTTCCCAGGAGCTCAGTCAGCCACTCTCCGAGCAAAAAGAAAGAAGTTATTCTTTAGACAGTTTAGTGTATGTATGTACTGAAATTTGGATCCCGCCCCCCCATTACCTTTTTGTCACCTCTCTCCTCTGAAACTCTTCTTCCCAGTGACCCTTCTGACCATGATGTCTAATCTGCTGCTGGGTTCACTTCCTGAACATGAGTTGAGGCTTGTCACTGGGACATTGGTAGCTTCTCTGAAGAAAATAGCCCCTCTCCCACCACCTCTGGTTTTGTTGTTGTTGTTTTCTTCGAGACAGGGTTTCTCTGTGTAGTTTTGGAGCCTGTCCTGGATCTCACTCTCTAGACCAGGCTGGCCTCGAACTCAGAGATCTGCCCGTCTCTGCCTCCCGAGTGCTGGGATTAAAGGTGTGTGCCACCGCCGCCGCCGCCGCCGCCGCCGCCGCCGCCGCCGCCGCCGCCACCACCACCGCCACCGCCACCACCACCACCACCACCACCACCACCATCTGGCCTCCCAGCACCTCTTAATGATGAGGGGATAGCTTCATGAATTTCTTTCTCCCACTCATAGTAAATGAAATGATAACAGGCTCAGTGAGGTCAATTCATGTGCAGAAGACACTGTTTGGCAGCACTCTTCCCCAGCTTCTCACAATTATATATATATATTTTTTTCCTCCGAGACAGGGTTTCTCTGTGTAGCTTTGGAGCCTATCTTGGAACTTGCTCTGTAGACCAGGCTGGCCTTGAACTCACAGAGTTCAGCATGCCTCTGCCTCCCGAGTCCTGGGATTAAAGGCATGTACCACCACGCCTGGCGAAATTATATTTTTACCTTCCATCTTTTGTTACGTAATCTGACCACCCTTGGAAGAGGTGCTATAGCTGTCCCATTTAGGGACAGGGATTCCACAGTCACTTACTCGCCACACTTTTATCAGTTTTCTGGAAAGGCGTTACTTTTTTTTTGAAAAGTGGTTTTACATTCACAGCAGAATGGAACAGAAAGTCAGGTACTGTTTCCATATGTGCTTGCCCGGACACTGTGTAGCCTCCCCCACTGTCAATACCACTCCCCAGAGTGTTGTGTTTTACAACTTAGTCTGTGTGGAAACATCATTATCACCCAGAGTCTGTGGTTTACTTCTTGGTATTGTTTCAAGCACATAACAACATTTGTTGTCAGTATGTAACATCATGGATAGTCCCACTGCCAAAGCAGTCAGCTGTGTTTTCTGTAACAACCCCTCTTCCCCAGCCCTGGGCAATCACTGCTTTTGTTTGTTTTATTTAGGGGGTTTTGTTTTGTTACTTTGTCTTTGTAACCTTTTTTTCAGGGTACCAGAGAGGAATCATTCACTGGGTAGCCTTTCAGCCTGACCTCTTCTGTTTAGTAATATGCATTTGTGGCCCTCTATGTCCTCACATGGCTCACTGCTATTTTAGCCTGAATTATTCTAGCAAAGCCCAGTTTATCCAGTCATTTGTTCAAAGATGGTTGCCTTTGGGGTTTGACAATAACTAATAAAGTGATGATGCACATTAGTGTGCAGGTTTTTATGTAGATATATGAGATTTTGAGTCCTTGGGTTAAACATCAAGGAGTATGATCACTGTATGGTAAAGTATGTTCAGTCTGTAAGGAGTCACCAGCTGTCTGCATGGTGCTTGTGCTGTTTCAGCCCCCTGTTTTGATGCTTTGTTGTTAGGCGTGTATATATTAGGCCTTATTATATCCTCATGGAGATTTGACTTTCTAGCATTAAAGCAGTTTTCCTTGCTTTAAAGTCTCTTCTTTCTGAAACAAATATAGCTGCTTGTGTTTTCTTTTGATTAACGTAGTCTTCCTGGCTTCATCTCCCTAGTGCTGGGATTTCCGATGTGTGCCACCTTTTTCTGCCCAGCTTTTCCTATTGGTTTCTTTTCTTTTTTTCTACATGATGAAACATAGAGCATGAAATTTACCATCTTAACATTGTCTGTGTGTGTGTTGTGTGTGTTTGCTGGGAATAGAGTTCTGGGCTTTGTAAGAATACTAAGCATATGTTCTTCATTGACCAAACTCTCAGCTCCTTAACTATATATAAATATACAGCTCAGTAGTACTGGATGCTGTTGTACAACCATTGCCATTATGTGACTTAAAATTCTTTGTATCTTATAAAAAGCTGAAACTTTGTACCCACTAAAATAACTGTCCATTTCTCCTTCCCTAGCCTCTGACAGGCACCAATTCTCTTTTCTGTCTCTCTAATTTGCTCACTTTAGGAACCCCATAAAGTGGAATTAGACAGCATATATGTTTTTGTAATTGGCTTATTTCATTATTGACTTAATATCCTTAAGGATCATCTACACTGTAGCATATGTCAGAATCTGTTTCCTATTCAGAGCTGAATAATAATAGTACTCCTTTTTGTTGTACCACATTTCTTTATTCACTTGGAGTTGCTTCTACCTTTTGGATATTGTGAGTGATGCTGCTGGTTCTGCATTACTAATCCCTAATCAAACAGGATTTGCAGATACTTTTTCCCGTTTTTTTTTTTTTTTTTGTGTGTGTGTGTGTGTGTGTGTGTGTGTGGGTTGCTTTACTTAGTTGATAGTTGGTGTACAAAGTGTCTAATTTTTATGAAGTGCAGTTTATCTGTTTTCTCTTTTGTATCCTGGGCTTTGCTATGGCATCTGTAATAAGGTAGAGTCCAATATTCTGAAGGGTTTTTTTTTTTATTTATGTTTTGCTTTCATCTAGGAGTTTTATGGTTTTGTTTTTTTTTACACATTATAAGGCTATGCTGTCCCTTTCATTCTTTTTTTATGTGTATGTGCATATGGACATGTGTATAGGTACCCACAGAGGCTAAAATAGGGCATTGGATTCCCTGGAGTTACAGGCAGTTGGGAGGCACCTGACATGGGTGCTGAGAACTGACCTCTGGTTCTCTACAAGAGCAGCATGTACTCTTAACCTCTGAGTCATCACTCCAGCCCACCTCCAAACCATTTCATTCTTTCTGCATATAGATACTGAGTTTTCTCAGCACTGTGGAAAAGACTGCCTTTCCCCTTTCAACAGCCTTAGCATCCTTGTTAAAGATCATTTGACCACACACATGATTTATTTCTAGGTCTTTCATCTATTTTTGTGTATTGCTCTGTCATTATGCCAGTATTACCTTGACAGAATTGTAGAGGCAGAAGAAAGGATAGCATTTCAACAGCTTACACTGGAAGAGTGGTATAGCCATATACTAGAAATAAAAACAACCTCATTCATGTTTGATACCATACATAAAAAATTAATTTCAAGTGATCATAGATTAAACAAAAAAACCTTAAGCAATAAAATAAAAGAAAACTTGCATAATCTTATTAAGATTTCTTGTGTATGACCTGTAAAGGAAGACCAGTAGGAGAAAAACTTCATAAATCCAGCTATATAAACATTTTAAATTGCCATTGCAAACAGAGGCAGTATCTGTAATCACATATCTGGTAAGGACTTGCACCCAACAAAACTCAGCAAAACCGCCCACTAAGAACCTGAGCAAGTAGACACAGCAGCACTGAGGATGTCTGTGGACATGAGGATGCTTGAGCTTCCGGTGCCACAACTGAGGGCTCCGGAACTAACATGTCTGCAATGCCCTTGGCTCTAGGAAGAAGAGTAAGCTCAAGGCTAACTAGAGAAGTGTACAGAGAGGTGAATAGAGAGCTCTGTCTTTAGGAGCCAGAGCCACAGTAGGAAACCTGAACTGTGGTTGGTAAATTTCTAGAGACTCAGGCTGCACCGACGAGAGTTTAAAACTCCTGGAAGCCTAGTCATAGGATTGGCACTGTTAGATGAATTTTACCTAGAGCTTACACAGGGCCTCAGACCGTTAGAGACTTCTTGTGCTTCTGGCTAAAGGAAGCGGGAAAGCCCCATTGTCAAGTATGTCAGAGCACACTGTCCACCTTGACAGCAGTTGCCCTCAGAAGGAACTACACCTCACATCTACTCTTTTCTGTTCTCATCTTATGTGATGTATTTACCACAGACCTAAGTGAGTAGTGACACATTTTACCTAATGTCTTTTTTCCTGTGCAGGATCTTGCCTTGACATTTAGTCATTATGTTACTTGGGCTCCTGACTCTTAACAGTTCTCAGACTTACTTGTTTTTGGTAATCTCAACAGTTTTGAGGAGGAGCAGCTATGTGTTCTGTGATACTGTTTGAAAGTCTTCTGATGTAATTCCCATCACCATGTTTATATTTGGAGTAGGGAGAAGTCCATAAAGATAAAGCTCATTTTTATCATGTGACAAGAGTATATATACACTTGGTGACAGTGAAAGAAACTTAACATTGTGGTTGTTGACCTTGATTACCTGCTGAAGTCACATTGATTTCTTAACAGTTCTGTAGTTAGGGTTGAGGAGTGGCTCATACATACCTAGGAAATTAATGTTTCATTTATTTTATTTATTTTTTATGTTTGTTATTTTTAAAAAGAAAATAATCTCAGTCCCTAGAGCTGCATCTTGCTGGTGGTAAGTCATTTGGAGTCTCACTGATGTCACTCAGTCCAGCAGCCTGTCCTCATATGAGCACTTCTCTGTCTCTACTGCTGACTTGCTGAATGGTCATGAACGTCCTGCACTGCTAGATCGGTTTCCCTCGTGCTTACATAGCACACCTCTGTCCCTTCAGCTCGGTCCTTCAGAAAGAATAGTGTTCTGTGCCAACTGTCCCAGTATCCCAGACTCCTGATCCGTCCTTCCTGAATCTCTTCAAGGCTCGTGGTTGTCCTTACAGTTCGAGAATTGCATTTATCCAGCTCTTTAAAAACCTTATTCTGGCCAGGTCTGTTTTGGGTTTTGGTTTGTTTTTTTGTTTACCCCCCCCCCCCCTTTTTTTCCCCTCCTTGTGATACTAGTGAATGAACCTTGCGTCTCTAACATCTTGGAAGCACTTTACCCATGAGCTATATCTCACTCTGGTTTAGAAAATATCAGTTTTTTTGTCTGTGTGTGAATGAATGTGTGTATGTGAATATGTGTGTGTGCATGTGTTGTACATGTATACATATGACTAGAAGCCAACTCTAGTGTAGTTCCTCAGGAGGCATACCAGGTCTCTCAGTGGGATCTGGGGCTTATTGATTGGGCTGGAGTAGTTGTTGGCTAATAAGCTCCAAGGAGCTACCTGTCTCTGTCCCAGCCCCTCTCCCAGCTAATATTGGGATTACAAATGTGTACCATCACATTTAGCTTAGTTACATGGGTGTAGGAGTTGAACTCAAGTCCTTATATGCTCACACAACAAGCACATACCAACGAAACTATCTCCTCAGTCCCCTATGTCATTTTTAGTTGGTGAATCCTTCATACCACTAAATAGTTTCCTTCTCTTCCTACCCCACCCCCCCCATCTCCCACAGCTTACTTCACATATATATCCGTGATAGTCATTATGAGCCACCAGATGCAGCTCTGCAGCCACCGGCTTTCCTATTGCTTCAGATGAAGGTTGGAATGCCCTGGGGCTAAGTGGCAGGTCTTTTGTCTTTCTTACTTGGCTTCAATACACTATGGTTTGAGTGCTGAATGATGGTCTGCCCTCAGTGATTGTGTTAGCCTCCTGATTATACTGCTGTGACTTCACTTGGAACCACGGTGGTCTTTCCAAAATGTCACCCCCAAATTGGTTCCCAGTCACATTCAAATTAAAATTCAAGCAGCCTCCTTGGTGTGACTCACACAAGCTTCATTTTTTGACTTTCTTTTTTCCTGAGTTCCTTTACTCCTCAGTTTTGCCAGCCTCCTTACTGTCTGTTGACTTTGCCTCTCAGGGCCTTTGCCTGGAACTTAACTTCCATTTTCCTCACCTTCCATGTGGGGCAGCACCATGCTGCTCTGGCCCCTTGCCCAGGCTGTTTTCCTCTGGGTCGCTTCAGTCTCATTATGCTGGCAGTGGCTCCTTTATAGCTGTCCATTGTCTGCCTCTCTCAATGGAATGTTGGACTCTTGAAGGCAGGGGCCTTGCTTCATTTAGGCTGAATTCACAGTTCCTGTAACAAGTAAATATCTCTTCAGTGGGGAGAATGGAATGTGAGTTTAAATGAGATAACCAGGGCAAGTCTCCAGATCAGGGATTGACAAGTCATGTCTTCACTTTCAAGTCTCACGGTCTTGTTTAGTTCCTTGGTTGTTTTAGCAGTTTGGTTTCTTTCTGCTAGTGAAAATGGATTTTGTGGAAAAACTCAGTATAACACTGTTGTAAACTGTTCTAAATTCTCCTACTTTGACGTTGCCTCTTCATGGTGTTTAACCTTGACTTTCAGGATACAGTGTCTTTTGTGTTTGCTTGGCTGACTTACGTACGAACACTCTTCCAATGCCTTTCATCTCTGTGATATTAAGTCTAGTTCATAAGATGTCCTGAGTGCGAAGGGCGTCAGGGGCCTTCAGCCCAAACTTGGCTTTACTCTGCCAGAGGCCCTGCCTCTCCTGCTGATGACTGTGACCCCATACACATAAATAAGCTACACTGCCACCAAACATCTGAACTGTTTCCTTTGGAGCAGAATGAGCTTTTGTCTGAGAATCTGACTTCTTTGGTGTCTTCTCACGGGGACTCTTTAATAAGATGGTTTCTAGCTTGTCTCTTTAGCTGGGAATTGGAAGGCAAATTTAAAACTCTCCCATAGAGCCTAGTTCAGAAGGCCTGTGTGTCAGCAATCTCCAAACTTCCGTTGTTTCCTCTGCGGTGGTTAGGTTTCACCTGTGTTTATCTTTTTTTGGTTTTTCGAGACAGGGTTTCTATGTGTATAACTTTGAAGCCTGTCCTGGAACTCACTCTGTAGCCCAGGCTGCCCTCGAACTCACAGAGATCCACCTGCCTCTGCCACCCAAGTGCTGGGATTAAAGGCGTGCGCCACCACCGCCCAGCTGTATTTATCTTTTCTTTGTTCTGATTCTTTCTTTATATTTTACTGTTATTTAGAGTCAGTCAGTGTTCTTGTCTGTTACCTAAAAAGTCCTTTTTGAGGTCAGACAAGACACCAAGGAAGCTTGTGCCTACTATTTTGTGATGACAGAGTCACTGCTAGACTCTGTTAATGAAGTTTAATCATTGTTTGCTCAACTTTCTTAGGGGAAGTGATTTTTTTTTTTCATGGTTTACTTTTTTCTAGTGGGGAAAATAGCACTTTTCATACTATTGTGTGTATATGCAGGCAAAAACACTGGAATGCTGTACTGAATTACCTGCTTGGTAAATTTTAAGCAATTTTTTTTTCCTGAGTTGTTTATTACTTCTATATAGGAGGAAATGAGTCTCAACCAGAAAGCCAGGAAGACCCCCGAGAAGTACTTAAAAAAACATTGGAATTCTGCTTATCTAGGTAAGGCTTTTAGTAATTTTTCTAATGCCTAATATCTTTTGTAGTACACTGGTTATTGGTTACATATGTGAGTTTTCATAGTAGAATGTTTATGAATAACTAATTTCATATCTGTCTATTCATCAAAAGTGCTGTAAAGAACTGTGGTGACCCTCAGGCCAGGGACCCCCAAGAGTTTGCCTCAGATCCATTTTGGTGATGATTGTCTAGGCTTCTGTTTCACGATGGATTCTTGCATATGCACAATATGCCATGAATCAGTCTGCCATAAGGCCTTCAGATAAATGGCCAAAACAATGTTTAGGGGGCTGTTTTATTTATATAGTGCTCACATTTAGGTACATTTAGGTTTTGTTTCCCTTAAACAACATTTTTGTTGTTGAAAAATATAGTAGAACCTTTAAGTTAATAGACAATGGGATGGGTTTGAGTATGAAAGTAGGTAACTAGCCACAAGTGAAGTCCCCTGCAGCTCTGAGGACCTGTTTCATGAAGGTCTCAAAAAGACAAAAGGTCCTATTTAAGATGAAGGAACAGTCAATGCCTGGACCTTCTTTCTTCCTTCCTCTCATCACAACTTAGTATAGTATTGAGTTTTAGCACATGTCATGGTGTAAAAATGAAAGATCTTGTGCCCAAGTTGCAAAGAACAGCTCCCTGCTATTCACACACCTTGGTGTAGCCCTCCAATAGCTACAAGTGTCACCCTCTGAGATAAGGGATAAGCAGTTTCCTCTCAAGTGAGTTAGTCTCTTTGACTGAACTCTTAACTGTTTGACCTTCACTGAGAGACACTGTAGAAGGGCCTGTGAAACCCCTTACTATATTTTAGTTTTGTGGTGTTTTGAGACTTTGTGTGTTACATTACACAGTCTTTCTCATGAGAATTTGCAGGAAACATTTTTTTTTGACTCAAATGCCAGGAAGCAGCGCATCTTGTCCTAATTGCTGGTGGAGTGGTGTACCTTCTGATCTGGCTAATAGTGCTGATCCTGTTTCCTTCTTGTTAGCTCTGGCTGCCTAGAGCCAGAGCCGATGCAGTGCCTCTAACATGTGTCCAGACTGTATGGGTGCACTTTCTCCTGGCCTTTTATATTTCCTATAGCTTTCTTATTCATTTAGCTGGATTTCCTATTGTAAAAAAAAAAAAAATGTACACTTTTAATAAATTACTCAAATACTGTCCAGAACAAAAATGAGACATAACTGTATCTTTCTTTGTTTTGTGTTTTGAGACAAGGTTTCTCTGTGTAGCTCTGGCTGCCCTGGAACTTGCTCTGTAGACCAGACTGGCCTCCAATTAAGAGAGAGATCCACCTTTGCCTGCCCTCCCAAGTGCTGAGAGTAAAGGCATGTACCATCATGCCTGGCTATAGCTGCATTTTAAACAAACTACCCCACTGGCTAATTTTGATTACATCAAGTGAGCAAATACCAGATGGAGTTTAGACTCAGCTCTCACCCCAAAGCTATCCCACACCACATTCATGCCTCTGGTGAAACTTCTTTTAAAGAACTATCAGTTAAAAGAGTTTGCTCTCTTTCAACAGGGAGAATCTTGCTAGCGACATGTACCTTATATCCCAGATGGACAGTGATCAGTATGTGCCAATTACAACGGTAGCTAACCTTGACCATATCAAGAAACTCAGTACTGATGTGGATTTGATTGTTGAAGTGCTAAGATGTAAGTAGATGACGATTGGAAGTGCAAAGATTGTTGTCTTCACATTATCTTTCTTATTATGAGCCTTCTTTTCACCAGAAGCCATCAGATAAGACATATGGGTGAATGAGATACTTTCTGGCCTCCTTTCTTTTCTGACCAGCTCTCTGTAACAGGAGCATTGATTGCCCCTGTAGCGAAACTTCAAGCAGATTATAGGCTAATTGAAAGAGAAAAGGAATCTTTTCGTTAGAAATTTTATTTTAAAGACAGCTGCTAAATTATTGAAAGCTAAAATAAATAATGACATTTTTGAAGTCAAATATATTTGTTTAGCTACTAAATGGGCTTCTTTCCAACTAGTTGCTTAAGTTTTGATGAAATATTGCTGTGATTTTTCTTTAGCTACTGTGAATAAAGCTGTTTCTTGGAAAGTTGACACATAGCATGAATGTTTAAATACTCCATAGAAAGTCTGCAGGCACTTCAGGGATACAAGTCTCTGTAAAGTGTTACCTTTCTTTTGTATCAAAATCGTGGTTTATTTGTATCCTACTTGATGTTGGGGACCTCAGCACCTTTTCTAGTTTTTGTTTTTGTTTTGTTTTGTTTTGTTTTTCCAGACAGTGTTTCTCTCACTTTGTAGACCATGCTGGCCTTGAACTCACAGAGATCCACCGTTTTCTGCCTCCCAAGTGCTGGGATTAAAGACATGCACCACCAACACCCAGCTTGTTTATTTTTTTGAAAGAAATTAAATAACTTTACTGTAGGAGTGATTGGCATCAAACGCTGTATTTAAAGGTTGTAGCCGGTTAGTTTTGACACATGGGTACATGGGTGAAACATCACAACAGTGAGGCTAAGGACAACTCTGCTCCTCCCAGACCTTTGCTGGCCTTGGGATGCTTTCTGTACAGACTTTGCTGTGATGTGTTGGTTTCCTTTTAAATCAGACTATTATTCATTATAAAAATTCATTTTCTGGTGGCGCACGCCTTTAATCCCAGCACTCGGGAGGCAGAGCCAGGCGGATCTCTGTGAGTTCGAGGCCAGCATGGGCTACCAAGTGAGTCCCAGGACAGGCGCAAAGCTACACAGAGAAACCCTGTCTCGAAAAACAAAAAAACAAAAATTCATTTTCTGTACTCAAGCTACAAATTCTAGGTGAGTGCTTTTTCCCATTCCCTTCCTTGGAACCGGGTGTATATGTGTATAGTGGCTTCTTCACAGAGAATGTGGTGTGCAGTGTGCCACACAAGCCAGCACATCCATATTGCTTACAAACGTTTGGATGATTAGACATTGCTGTGTCTGAATTAAAGTCTCATTTCTCTTAACAACCAGCCTTTTTTTTTTTTTTTTTTTTTTTTTTTTTTGTGTGTGTGTGTGTGTGTGTGTGTGTGTGTCTATATTGTCCTGTGTGTGTGTGTGTGTGTGTGTGTGTGTGTGTGTGTGTGTGTGTCTATATTGTCCTGTCCCTGTGCATTGATGAGACAGTTGTTTCAGAATATTTTTCTTCTGTGCATTGAACTTAACAGTAATATTAAAAGATTGATATCTTCCTTTAGAACTTAATTGGATTTAAAAGGCATTTTTAAAAATTTACCGTGTGTGTGTGTGTGTGTGTGTGTGTGTGTGTGTGTGTGTGTGTATGATGGCGGGGGGGAGTATGTGCCATGGTGTCACATGGAGGTCAGGGCAACATCTGCATTTGATTTTCCATGAGTTATGGGGATTGATCTCAAGTCAGTGGGCTTAAACACCTAGTGCCTTTACCTGATTGAGCCATTTTGCCAACCTTTTAATTGGATTTTCTAATCACAAGTAAAATTTTTTTCACTTTTTTATCCTTACACCAAAAGCTAAAGAACTGGTAAGCGTAATTATCAGTAGAAATTTGAAGCATTATATGACATTTCCCAAGGCAGTAGTTTACTTTCCAGATTGCCATTTAGAATACAGACTTGGGGAGTGTAGCTGGGTTTGATTCCATCCGATCTATATCTGTCTATACTCTACTACACTAAGTCTCTTGGGTTATTCTTAGTATCACACCCCAGTATCACTGATGAAAGTTGTCAGATTTTGCTGTAGGAAGGAGAAAACCATGAGCCCTGTCTTTTAGTATTTGGTCTGTTTGATCTGTTTGATCTACAACCACCACCTCATTGTGTGTATATTTGGTAGTTCTTGCAGGACCTTTTAGATTTACATGTTTCTTCCTTCTGAAAATTTAACATACAAGATGGATTTAAACAGTTCAGTAGTTGTGTTGGTTTTGAACTTTTTGTTTTGTTTTGTTTTATTTTGAGACAGGGTTTCTCTGTGTTGTTTTGGTGCCTGTCCTGGATCTCGCTCTATAGACCAGGCTGGCCTCGAACTCACAGAGATCCGCCTGCCTCTGCCTTCCACGTGCTGGGATTAAAGGCGTGGGCTACCAACGCCTGGCTGGTTTTGAACATTTTAATAATTTGCCCAATGTCCAAGTTTCTCTGGTGTGTTTGTTAATGAGTGCTTACGTTCTCTTAGAGTATCATGTAATATATGTTGGGTAATAAGTGTTGACATCCTGTTGGGGTGTCATATAATGTGTGCTTTACCATTTATTTATTTTTTTCTCTCACAGCTTTACCTTTAGTCCAAGTAGACGAGAAGGGAGAGAAAGTAAGGCCAAATCAAAACCGGTGCATAGTAATATTGCGTGAAATATCTGAATCCACTCCTGTGGAAGTAAGTCATTCCTCTATTGGGGGCATCTGTTTATATATGTATTTCATCTGTTTTTGATAGGGCTTATTTGAGAAAAAAATACACAAACACCTTTTCCCAGGATGTACACACTAATAATTACAGTGTGACTCACTTGTAGGAAGAATAACTGTCATGCCTTTTGGTCTTAGGATTCCTCTGTATATTTAAATTTAAAAAGATAATAGGGTTTATATATTTCAATAGTTAGAAATTAAAAAATGAAATGGGTTTAGATATGTATTCCTTAAAAAATAAGAGTAATGGGTGGGGAGGATGGATGATGTGGATCTTTATCATTTCACAGTTTGTTTTGTTTGCATATGTTGTTCTTGTTTGTTTGGGCTTGGGTTTTTTTTTGGGTTTTGTCTCTCTGTTGGATGATTGGTCTAGTTTGGGTTCTCTAGAGGCAAGGTCTCATTATATAGTCCAGGCTGACCTTTGACTCATGATCCTGCTGCCTCAGCCTCCTAAATGCTGGCATTATAGGTATGTGCCACCATGATTGGCCCTAATATTTACCATTTTTAGTGCTTTCAGGCTTGTCCAGCCTGCAGCCCACCAGCTGCATGCAGCATGGGGTAGCTAGGGATGCCATATGACGCAAAATAGTGAACTTCCTTAAAATAGGATGGGTTTTTGTGTATGTGTTTGTTTTGTGTACTTTGTTGCAATGTCTAAAGGTTGGACAAGCCTATATCTAGCCTTTCTGCCAGGTTCCATTTTTCCTTTTGCCTGATTCCTTTGAGATATCTTGTGGTACACACTTTCAGTATACATATTGGTACTGAAAATTTTTTTTTCCAACTTTACTATGTTAGAGAGAATCCTGATTTGGAGCTCATTAAAGGGTTATTTTGTTTTGGTTTTGGGATTTTGTTTGTTTGTTTGTTTTGGCTTGGTAAAGTTTCTGGATTGGTGAAGTTTTTTTTTTTTTGATTCCTGTATTTTAAACACATTGTTCTCTTCTAATCCACATTGTTTCTGCTGAAGAAAATCTGCCAGTTTTTTTTTCTTTGTTCCTCTATATTGTACATCTTTTTCTCTGGCTCTTAGAAGATTGTATATTGGTTTAAGCAGTTTGATTATAGATTGTCTTATGGCATAGCTTTGTAGTTTATCATTCTCAAGCTTTACCTTTCTGAGCATTTGAAATGGACATTCAGTAACTATTCTGGTGCACATGTCTACCAGTACTGTCATTTGTTTTATTTTAAGATTAATCTGATGGATCTTTCTCATTATAGCCCAACCTTTTCTATTTCTCTGTGTGATTGTTACTTCACTAGGTACTGAATAGTTTTGAATTCTAATAGATATTCTGAGATTCAGTTAAGATCCTTGGCAGTCCCAGCTACTCAAGACTAAAGCAGGAAGGGTTATTTAAGCCCAGGAGTCCAAGGCTATTCTGAGCCAAACAGCAAGATGCCCAGCTCCAAAACACAGGCAGGAAATTGTTTGGTGCCAGTTTGGTTTCTGCACATTTGTGAAGTGGCTCAGAACAGCCTTCCTATGGGCACACTCTCGTTCACTTGCCTGCTGTTCTCTGAGTTGAGGGTTCGCCACTCCAGCTGCTCGGTGAGCTGGCTGGAGGCTATTCTCCCTGACCACTCTAGTTTTATTTCTGGCCAGCGGCCTAGAGAGAACCGTCCACAAAGCTCTGGAGACTTGCCCATCCTGGGACCCGGAAACCCTGGGCACTGTTGACCCACTCTATTCATGTTCTCTCAGGGAAGGCTCTCTCTCCTATCCTACAGATGACAGGTGTCTGGAAAACCTTATAGCACATGTTTTATCTTTGTACTTTTTACTTGTGTTATTTGGGACAGTAAATCTAGTTCACCTTGGCCAGAAACAAAAATTCAGCTAATATTTTCGTTTTTCAAACTGTCTTTTAAAATAAAATTGTGTATTTATCAGCCTGCTGATAAAACCGTTTTCTTCCTCCCCCCTTGCCTCCCTCCCCTCCTCTATCCTCTTCTGTTAAGGAAGGAGTCCTGTATCCGAGCTGGCCCTGAACTCTTTTATGTAGCTGAGGATGACCCTGAGCTTGATTGTTCTGCTTCCACCTTGAGTGCTAGAATTACAGACATGTACCTTGATCCTCAGTTTATGTGGTATTGGGGATCAAACCCAGGACTTCTTGTGTGCTAGGCAAAGCATGCTTCCAAGCCAGTCACATCCCAGCCCCTACTGTTCATATTAGTTTCAGTTCCTTGTGAGTAGGGAAAGCTGTCAGTAATGACTTCTTTGTCTGTGGCATGTGATCCTGTGGGTGCTCCCTGCAGTGTTTCTGAAAGAAGGTTAGAGGTCCATCATAGCATAAGAGTAAATTTTCCTCCTAATTTGATGAGGACCAAAAGTAGCATAAGTGAGGACTAATTTCTAACTTCTTTGTTTCCTGTAGGAAGTAGAAGCACTATTTAAAGGAGATAATTTACCAAAATTTATAAACTGTGAATTTGCCTATAATGATAATTGGTTTATTACCTTTGAAACAGAAGCTGATGCACAGCAGGTAAGTGCATTTCTCTCCCAGCCTGTGAAGTGCATAGTTCACCACCAGTGCAGAGCAGAAGTTAGGACATTGAGGTTAAGTGCAGAGAAAACTGACTGGTAGGAACCCACAGGTATATCTCTGTAGCATTACTAAAAGTATGACACATTACTTCTTTAAAGATTTATTTATTTATTATGTATACAGCATATGTGACTGCAGGCCAGAAGAGGGCACCAGATCTCATTACAGGTGGTTGTGAGCCACCATGTGGTTGCTGGGAATTGAACTCAGGACCTCTGGAAGAGCAGTCAGTGCTCTTAACCTCTGAGCCATCTCTTCAGCCCCTGACACATTACTTCTTAAGTGTACTGTGAGTTAGCAGTCTCAAGAAGTCATATCTGGTCTCATATCAGAGAAGAGAAAAATTTTGTTTGCAAAATGGGGAAATTTGTACCTAACCCTGACCTGTGAGGAGCATCCATTTTGTGGCAAGGTACTTTCAAAGGTATTGAGAAGTTTTGGGCTCTTAGAAGAGGTGTCTGATTTAGGGGAAACATACTAACAAGTATAAAATGTTAGAAATGTTAGATCAGAGGGTTAGAAGAAAAAACACAAAAATTTGAAAGGCCAGAAGGGAAGAAGCACTGTGCTTTGTGGCCTTATGGCCTGCCCAGTGAATCGGGTAGGTGAGCATAGAGGAACTTCTGCATGAAGTGGGGGCTTGATAAAGATTTAATTTGCAGATAAACATGGAAGCTACATAGTAATAATGACTCCAATATTTCAGTCTTTCTCTCCTTTCAGTCACTCCTTTCTCTGCACTACACAATCCCAGTTTCAAATTGGGATTAATATGAGGGAGGCAGTATTCCTTTTTTGTTTCTAGATCAGGAGTCTTAGCTTCTGGCTTGGGGATGCTCATGTGGTATTTATTAGTACTTATAAAATTATATTTAAATATTTTATAATAATTTGGGGTGCAGGTACCATAATAAGGGTATTTTTAGGGATTTGTGTCTGAAAGAGGGTCAGGAATCAATCACTCTTGGATCCTGTCAGCTATAGTCAACCATACATGTGATTATTTGAGCTGTAGAGTTAACTTATAAAGTTAGCAAAATGGTATTTTGGATGATTTTACCCTTAGGCTTACAAATACCTTCGGGAAGAAGTCAGAACTTTTCAAGGAAAGCCAATTAAGGTAAGCAAGACCACTTGCTTATAGCTTCTTTATTGTCTGATCAGCATTCTTCTATGTTCTAATTGGAACTTAAATGTCTCCAAACAGGCACGGATAAAAGCAAAGGCAATAGCGATAAACACATTTTTGCCAAAGAATGGATTTAGACCTCTGGACATGAACCTTTACACACAGCAACGTTATGCTACATCCTTTTACTTACCTCCAGTGTACAGTCCCCAGCAGCAGTTCCCTCTGTACGGCCTGATTGCCCCTCAGACATGGTCAGCAACACATAGTTATCTCGATCCACCCTTGGTAAGCCTTTTTCTTTAGTTTTTTAAATTTACATAACAGATTCACATTTTTAGATACTGTACTAGATACTTTGAAAGTTTAAAATCCTGGTCTAATAAGAGAGTCATGTGCCTACAGTTTGCTTAGTATCCAGACCGTGGGGTTATGGTATAGATTTTAAATTTAATTAGGCAATGAAGATAGAGTACTGTGCAATGAAAAACTTGGATGCTGTGATCTTTGCCTCTCTCCCCAACTCCCACCCCTGCTGGCATTTCCTTTTTCTGAGACACGGTGCTGTAAAGCCTCTACCAGTTAGAGTCTAACTGGTGTCCTGAACAGACATGGGACATGACATGAGGGGGTCTATCTTAAAGAAAGAGGTATTTCAATAGGTTCCTAACAGTCTAGGAAAGCAGGATGCATGCTGTCTGTCTCAAAAAAACATTTTGGTTCTCATACCCACCTTAGGGTTAGGTAACATGATTAATTTTTGGCCTTTGTTAAGGTCTGTGTGTGGAATCCTAAGTTCGTAATGAGTGCGGTCATTTTTCTCCAGCTTTGCTCTCGGGATGCTAGGGAACTTGGGTTCTGGTTTGGAATCATTGATTTAGTGAGGTAGGACACAAGAAAATCGACCTTGTATGGTAAATTCCTTGAAAGTGAGGTCCAGGTTACAAAGGGAGGGTTAATTCATGTCTGTAGGTTTATATATCAGATTTTGATGTAATAAAAGCTAAAACAGTAGGATGCATAGAAGGTAGTGGACAGAATGCAGAAATAAAGGTATTAACTTTGAAAGAGTTCGTGTCCAGATGTGGCTGTGGACCAGATCAGAGAACAAGTAGAGGGTGCTCAGGATCATGTGTCTGAGTGCTAGCCACCTGTCATGTAGAGACAATACCACTCACTGGCAGGCAAGCAGTGGAGGTATGGAAAAGAGGGAACTTGAGACAGAGTTGTTCAGACTTGGAAATGTGGATCCTGTTAGATACTGAAATGTAAAGATAAATGTCTGTGAAAAGATGAGTATGCCCAGGAGCTGTTACTGCAAAAATAGGTACAAATAGAAAGTATCATTAAACTTAACAGCAAGGATTGTTGTGCTGTCCCTTTATCAGGTTTTCTTGTGAACTTATGAGAAGGGTCAAAGAAAGGAAGCTCTGTGAATAGATTGTGTGTGCAGAAGCACCCAGGTCACTACAGATGAACTTTTATTTCTGAGTAGAGCAGATGGCTGGGGACAGGGGTGGTTAAGTTGCCCTCTTGAGAGTCCCTAAACACATGGACTTTGACCTGGATCATGTAGGAAGTAATCTAGAATGTTTGAGTTAAGAAATGAGAGCATACTCCATTTTTAAAGGTTACCCTCTAGGCATGTGCAGGATAAGCAGAGTTATAAAGGAGTTCTCAGTGAGGCCCATAACACTCCCCTCCCACTTACCCAGTTCTAGAACCACTGCAATAAAAAATGCTTGCTATATCAATACCTAAATTTCAAAATTATGTCTATCTCCAAAACTTTGAACTGGCCAGAGGAAAATCCAGGGAGACATAGGTAAAGACTGTGTAAGTAGGACTCCAGTGACTCAGGACACAACAGCAAGACTGGACAAACAGTGTTCTGTCACATTTAAAAGCTACACAGCAAAGAAGCAATTGTCATGGTAGAGACAGCCTGTACTGGGAGAAAACCTTTACCATATTCATCCAACAAAGGCTTAATACCTAAATACACAAGGAACTAAAAAATTCAACAGCAGAAAAACAAATTCGGAGGTGGCCAGTCAGTCAGACAGACAGCTCTGAAAGCAGAGCCAATGGGCCAGTGATGGGTTTCAGCACTTGCACAAGCCGGGAGGGCAGCACAAGTCTGAGCTTCAAAATGCGTGACATTCAGAAGGAGATAACTGACTTTACGATCTCTATGACCTTCATATGTGTACTGGGGCACATATACCCCCCAATTATAGATTATATCTCTCATAATAGTAAAATTTTTAAGAGGAAATACAACATATGACCAATTTATATATAAATGAAAAATTGCTCAACTTTCTTAACCATGAAATAAATGCAAGTAAAAACTTACATTAAGATTCCATCTATCATAAAGGAGATAAATGACATGCTGACATACTGGTGAGGGTGCAGGGAAAAAGGATTCCTTGTACACGGTTGCTGGGGATGTAAATTAGTTTAGCCACTATGGAAATCAGTATGTAGATTCTGCAAAAAAATAAATAAAAGTTGAATTGTCATAGAATCTAGTTATAACACTGATGGCATACATCCAGTGGAATAAAAATCTACAGACAGAGATATCCACACATTTATCTTCATTGTGGCACTATACACAGTGGCCGGGTTTGAGAATCCCCTTAGGTGCCTGTCAGTGAGTGAGTAGGTAAAGGGTATGTGTATAGATTAGATACAGATATAGATATAGATATACACACAATGGAATATTATTCAGACATAAAGAAGAACACAATCACATTATTTGCAGGAAAATGGATGGATCATCACATTAAGCAAAATAATGCTAGACTCAGACAAATGCCATGTGTTTTCTCTCATACATGTGGGATATAAAGGTCTTTTTTCCTTTAAAGACATGAAAATGGAAGAAATTCTAGTTTGGAGGGAGGGACCAACGTGGGAAGGAGGGGAAGAAGAGGTGAAGGAAGGTAAGGTGGATATGACTGAGTACAATGTGTACATGGATGAGAATGCACAGTGAAGCCCTTTATGTTGCAAGGTATACAAGCTGATAGAAGAAGGAAAAGAGACACCTGTCACTTTGAGTGAATTCTAATGGGAAGGAATTATGCTTTTAAAAATAGTGTACTTTCTATGAGCACAGACTCTCGGCTGTAGTGTTCTTCTTCCCAGAAGCATCAGAAGAGATCTCTAGACTCTGTCCATGAACCTCCTCCTGGTAGTGCTCTTCCCCACACGAAGCTGCAGTGGGTCACTCTGTCACCCTCGTCACTCCTTGTCTAGATGCCTCTTTTAGAATCCTAGGTCAGCCACTGCCTGTTGTTTACATTCAGGCCCTCCCATCCAGGCCCTTTTCTGAGATATGCATTACATACAATTACAAACTTAAACTAATCTTTTGGTCTTGCCACTTTTGTTTGTTTGTTTTTTTGAGACAGGATTTCTCTGTGTAGCCTTGGCTGTCTTGGCACTTACTCTGTAGACCAGGCTGGCCTTAAACTCAGAGGTCCACCTGCCTCTGCTGGGATTAAAGGTGTGGGCAACCACCACCTGGCTGATTTTATCAGATTTAAAGTTTCCAAAGCTTTGATTTGAATTAAGTGACTTTTCTAGTGTGTTGTATTTTTTGCATTAATTTTTAAGTTAGCCAAAAAGGTGTAATGGGTTTTATATTGCATTTTGGTGCATGTATATTATTATACTTTGTTCTCATTAATCTCTTTTCTCCACTGCACCACCATGACCATCACCACCTCTTTCTGCCCTCTGGCTGGTTCTCTTCCTTCCCTCAGATCGTCTCACCTGCTTTGTGTTGGCATGTTAAGACTCCTTTTCCCTCTTAAAGCCCTTCCTCCTCTCATGAGCTCCCTTCTAGTTTCATTGTCTCTTTTCCCTGCACCTACCTACTACTGCACCCCCAAATGTAGATTCCAAATATTAAAGAAAACAGAGTTTTTAGCTTTCCAAGTTTGGCTTGCTTCATTTAATAGGATAGTTCCGTTTCCTGGCTGTTATGAATAGAGCAACAATAAACATGGATGTGTAATATCCAAGAGTGATAAGCTGGATCTTGTGATACTTCTGTTTTTAGTTTTTTTGAGAGACCTCCAGGCTGGTTTCCATCTGTCTTTCCACTAGCAGTTAATTAGAGCTCCTCTTTCCTCCTGTCCTCACAGCACTTGTCTTGGTGGTAGCCCTTCTGACCAGGGACAAAGAGAAGCCCAGTTTTTGCGTTTCCCTGTGGCTGAGGCTGCTAGGTGGTCTTAAGCTTTTACTGGCCATCTGTATCTCCTCTCAGAACTGAGTGTCCAGTTCATTAGCCCATTTATTAGCTGGATGGTTTGAGGTTGGCTTTAATGTTAGATTTCTTCAAATATTTGAAATTTTAATCCCCTGCCTGTCTTGTAATTGGGAAAGTTTTTTTTTTTAAAGATGTATACAGTGTTCTGCCTGCATTCATGCCTTCACACCAGAGGAGGGCACCAGATCTCATTATAGATGGTTGTAAGCCACCATGTGGTTGCTGGGAAATGAACTCAGGACCTCTAGAAGAGCTGTCCTTGCTCTTAACCTCTGAGCTATCTCTCCAGCCCCTGGGAAAGATTTTTTAAGCAGTGTAATTTTTGTGAACTGTGGAGTTTATCAAGGATCTTTTCAGTGTTTTTCTTTTGTCGCTTCACTTTGCAGTCAGGGAATGGAATGCCGACTCTAATACCCACTTGAAATTAGAGCTTCCAGTTAATGCTGAAGAGAACTGCTTGGGTTCTCCCTCCCTGTCCCTTTCCATTTGTTCAGCTGTGTAGGAACCTGTACTCACTATTCAGTTTAGTACAAATTCAAGGTAGGGACTGGAAGGCCCCAGGCAACTAAGTGCCTTGAAAGTAATGTCATTTATTTAGAGAATATTTGAAACCATATGCTCCAGAGGCCAGAAAGTTAGTGGTCTCACCCTTCCATCTTGTAATTATTATTGTTATTATTATTTTGTGCCCATATGCAACAGCAAGAATGTGGATAGGTTCTCCCTTTCCACCTTTATGTGGGTTCCAGGGATCGAACTCCGGTCACCAGGCTTGTGTAGCAAGTGTGTTTACCCCTGGGCCATCTTTTTAAATAATTGTTTCAACATGTAGAGCAGGCTGGTCTCAAACTCATAGATCTATGTGCCTCTGGCTCCCAAGTGCTGGGATTAAAAGCGTTCAACACTATCGCCTGGAAACACTGATTTTTTTTTTTTTTGAAGTGTGTGTATGTACACATGTGCAAACTGCACACATGCCAGGACAGGTCAGAGGTGTGCATAGGTCAGAGAACAGAGGACAGCTCTCAGGAGGATCCCTCTGGCATCAAGTGTTAAAATCCAGTGGTGAAATCTATGCATTGGGACCACTGGGCCCTCCTCACTGAGTTGTATCAAGATTTTAAAAAGCATTGAGTGGTAATTAAAATCCTACACTTAAGCTTTTAAACTTTTTAAAAAGTACATTTAAATTTAGCTCATATTTTAAGGTCATTATGGCCTGTTCTAATTTTCTTCTAAACTTTATATTTATATGTTCTGTATCACTTTAAAGTACTTGGGAAAATTTTTGTAGTCTAAAAATAGGATGCTGTTTACAGCAAGTCTTGTATGAAAGTAAACCCGAGAGAGAGAGAGAGAGAGAGAGAGAGAGAGAGAGAGAGAGAGAGAGAGGAGAGGAGAGGAGAGGAGAGGAGAGGAATCTCTGCCAAAGGCTGTGAGGGTGACATAGGCATGGTTAAGAGCAGTAAGTATGTGAGAATTCCTAAAATTGGGCACTTTGAATTTTGTTAAGGTTATTCAGAATAAAGGATCACCTACTTCTTTCCAGACTGAAGGTAGTTATACTAGTAGTAGTAACTTAGTTTAGGTGTCATCAGGCAGTGCCTATATTCAGGATTCCCATGCCATCTGGGGCAAGGTTCTGTCCTCTTGGTGTTCTCGAGGATTAGCTAAAATGATAGGGAGAAAGTTCTTAGCACTAGCTATGGCTTGAATGCTCAGTAGACATTACCTTTAGAAATAATCTTTAGTAATAAGTTTTCCCTTACCCTGCAGTTATTTTTAAGTATAACATGGAGTTCACACCTCTGGCAAGAGGAAGACATTATCTGGTTTACCCAAAATACAATTGTAAATCCAATTGAATTGTCTCATGTCTCATGTTTTACATACTTGTTTTCTGTTAATGAATCCAGGTAACTCCATTTCCAAGTACTGGATTTATAAATGGGTTTACATCTCCGACCTTCAAACCTGCAGCGTCTCCTCTGACATCACTCAGACAGTATCCTCCTAGAAGCAGGCAAGTTCCAATGGTGCTTCCGATGCTCACGAGCTTCATTTTCACTGTCCCAGGTTATCTGTAATGAGAGATCTGTGTAACCACTAAGAATGCTCATCAGAGATGAAATTTGAAACTGTAATCTGTATAAAGACTAAACCCCAAAGCTGGCTGCCAGGAGTAAGGAAGAGATTCTCTTCAGAGAAGGCTTTTGGGCCAACTTTTACCATGTGTTCATTAAGTAGGAAGCAGATCTTGACACATAGTTCACATTAGCATGCTCATTCTATACTCCTTGATTGTGTTATAACTCAGCGTATACAAACATCTCATTTGCAGGAATCCTAGTAAGTCTCATCTGCGCCATGCGATTCCTAGTACAGAGAGAGGGCCCGGGCTGCTAGAAAGTCCTTCAATATTTAACTTCACTGCAGATCGATTAATTAATGGCGTCCGGAGCCCACAGACGAGGCAAGCAGGGCAAACTAGAACACGAATACAGAACCCTTCAGCTTATGCCAAGAGAGAGATTGGAACTGGGCGCGTGGAGCCAAGTAGTCTTGAATCCTCTCCTGGTTTAGGGAGAGGAAGGTAAGTCACATGCATATTTTGTCAAGCAGATATTATGTACCTATCATGAATTACTAATATTTTGCATTTTAATTTAGATGTTTTCTAATTCATTTCAGAAAAGTCAAGCTGTAAACATCAAAGGTTTCCCTTAATTCCTCAGGAATGTTGTTGGTTTTAGAGCAGAGACTTTGTTTTTGTCTTTGTGTTTTGTTTTCTTAAAAGCATGACATTTTCTTTCATAACACTACAGCTGGCATGTAAGAGCTGTCCAGTGTCTAACCTCTGCTCGACCTTACTACAGTCTCACCTTGGAGTTAGCCCTGGCCCTCTAGGTCACTGGTCTTGATAGAGGTGGCCTCCAAGGTGTGTTCCCCAAGGTTCCTGTTCTTGCTTCTTTACAGCTGGTAGTAAGGAGGGCTGAGCATGTACGTCAGCTGTAGAGTGCATGCCTAGTAAACAAGGTCCTGGATCAATGCCTAGTGCTCCACAAAAATCAAATGAAGTGCGATTGTGCTGTCAACAGGCTGACAAACCAGCATTGAAATTCCATTTCTGCTAAACTTACTTATAAACCAAAGCTGCTATTGTGAGCCAGTGCCTTTGGTCACAGTATTTCCGTCCTTAGGCAAGTAGTTCTTAGAGTCTTGGTGTTTCTAGTCATTCCCTGGGGTTCTTCCCATACACTGTGAATGTAAACTACTGTACTTCCATTTCTTCTCCCTGTGACCTCTAGTACAGTTTCTTCTTTCTTGCTCACTGTCTTGTCTTCAGCCGTTTATACCTCCTCTACAGAGGTGAGATTAGAAGACATAGGTAGGTCTCAGAGTTTGCACCCTACCCAGTGTTGACTGGGCCAGTTGCTAATGTGATAAAGCCTGTCAGGATCTTCCTCTGACAAACGCTGAGCAAGAACCTCAGCCTATCCAGGTTTTTTTCTTTTAACCTACCTTGAAAAATTTAAGTGGAGGCAGGGGAAGTCCTCAGTTTTCCATACATCAATATACAGCATGATTAGTGACTCATTGAAACTCAAAATGTTGATTCCTCTTTCTTGGCATATACAGAACAAAGGCACATCCCCAAGATATGGCAGGTTTGGGTCTAGACCACCACAATAAAGCAGGTATCACAGCAAAGTGAGTGACTTGGGGTGCTAAAGGTTGGGATGGGTGTGCAGTGCCCAAGAATAAGACACTAGTGTCTTTTTTCTTTGTTTTACAAAGCATATGCTGCTGTTTAGTTTACTCACAGAACTTTTATATTGGGAGTCAGAGCTCTCACCCCCTGCTGCTGCCTAATCACCCAGTTAAAGTTTCAACCTTTTGTTGTCCATCCACACCACTGGCAAGACCTGGGTCAGCAGTAGATCTGTCTCAAGAAACCATCTTTTCACTGATCTACTGTATGAAACAGCTTCTCAGCCATTGAAGGGTGAATGAAGTCACAGTCAGAAAGCTCTTGAGGCTCACTGAAGCCCAAACTCCTGTAACTGTTGCTGGCTTGACCTCTTCCCATTGATCACAGGCGATTTAGCAGCACCTGGAGTGTGGGTCCTTTCCAGAAGGCGGTCAGTTGACTTTGTCTTTCAGAAGGATCACTGTTGTCTATGAAATGTAGTTTCCTATTTGTGTGTGGGGTAAACAGCCTACATGTATCATGTTTATCAACTTTGGGTCTTGTTCTCAAGTCCCATGCACCTTCATTTTGGGGACAGTGTCTCTTATGGAACTGGAGCTCACCAATTAGGCTGGTTGACTCCAGGGTTCCCCTTTCCTGAATACCTCAACACTGGGATTGTAAGCATGCCCACTTGGCAGTTTTATTTTTGAGAGTCTATGATGTTTCTTTAATGTTCTTATGTGTGTACAGACATACATGTTTGGATGATGCATGTGTCGAGGCCAGAGACACTGCCAGCCATCTTCTATTACTTTCCACCCCATTTTTTGAAATGGGGTCTCTCACTGAACCTGGAGTTGACAATTAGGCAGATTTTGCTGGCCAGTGAGCTCCAGGGATCTATGCCTGTTGTTCCCTGTGCATACTGTGGTTATAGATGCAGCCATGGCACCTAGCTTTTCTGTGCCCTAGAGATCCAAGCTCAGGTCCTCATGCTCGCATGACAGGCAGTTTACAAACTAAGCATCTCAGTCCCAGTGCCTAGCTTTTAAAAAGGTGAATTCTGAGGCTCTAACTCAGATTTTCATGCTTGAGCAGCAGGCATTTTATGACTATCTCTCCAGTCCCTATGAAGTATATTTCTTAAACAGTAGGACCTAAAAGTTGAAATTAATTTTTGACCCATGACTGCAGAATGCATATTGTGTTAGGTTTTGTGAACATGCTATTAATCTTGTTATGTATTTCCGTCAGAGCTCTTGAATGGCCAGATGCATTGGCATCAAATAATAATCTGGTCCTCAGCTCCGGGGGGAGGGGTGGGGGAGGGATAATAATAATAATAATAATCTGAAAGAATCTTTTCCTTGAGTAACACATTTTCAGTATGCTCTTTTAAAACATTCAGTAACCTTGTCATAATAGTCACCAGCTGGTGACTATTAGTCCTGGTAGAGAGTCAGCCAGTCCATTAAAGCTAGGCATTGACTTCTCTGCAGTTGTTAAGTCCTAGATTGTGTCTTCTTTCAGTGAGAAACTGTTTGACTTAGGGAAATCACTGGGTCTTCTGAGTAGCTCCCTGCAGCCTCTGCCGCAGTGCCCGCTACTTCACTTGTGCTTTGGTGTAACAAAATACTTCTTTCCTGAATGTCATGTGCCAACCGCTGTCAGCATCTACAAATCCCTTGCCTCTCTTAACCCTCACAGGGTTAAAAAGAGGGAACCTGATAGCCATTGTACTTGGTCTCTAGGAATACTGTGGCTGGTTTGGTCTTCTGTGGGGGTCCCTGGAACATCCTCTCTACCAACAGGAAGGTCAGCTGGCTCTCTTGTCATCTACGTATTCACTGGCTGATGGTGTGATAGGTGTTCAGCTTCTCTCTGCCTCTGACATGTCTTCTCACTCAACTTAATCATTTCTAGATTTTTAAAGAGAAAAACATGTGACTCTTCTTTTCACTTAAACATGTGTAAGCCACTGGATAATTCATTTCAGTATTGTGGAAATGTGTGGCTGGGGCTGCCACTTGTGAAAGTTAGTAGCCATGAAGGACAACAGTGGAAGAGGAGGGAGAGTCTCTTTACTTTTAGTGCAGTTGGAGAGTTAGTGCAATTGAAGAATTTGAAAAAATTCCTGTTTTCAGCGATGGCGCCAACATCTGTGGAGCTGTGGTAGGTTGTGAGACTGGCCACAGGCACCATGGCTTGGTAGAGCTAACACCGGCCTGGGAGCCATCAAGGACAAAAGCTACACCAGCCATTTTTATACCAAATCGGTTAATGAAGACTGAGAACTCAGGGAGCCTTGAATAACACAGAGCTAGTGACATCAGGTGGCAGCCACAAACCCAGTGGTCATGTTTGGGGTTCTAAGGCTAAAATCTTGAGAGAAGGGAGCCTGGACCGCAGATCTCCTGGGTTCAACAGGCACAGTGTAAAGAGAGTGTAAACTGAAGAGTAAATTCCTGTGTCTTTCCAGCCCTTTTTAATAAAAGCTTAACAAAGCCTCCTGTCAGAGTTTGCAGAATCCCAGCCACCTAAAAAAAGAAAAGGAAAAAAAAAATGAAATAAAAAGGTAGGGCTGAGACTAGATAGTATCTTGCTAACCAGTATGTTCTGCCTCTTTGGTGACAGTTACTGTCAATCTCCCAACAGTATTTGAGTGAGCTTCCAGGTAGCCACTGGAACAGGGTTATGTGCTCACCAGAGACCAGGCTTTGTACTAATGGAGATTCTCACTCTTCTCAACAAAGGGATCAGGTTTCCACTTAATCTGTGACCTAAGTAAGGACTTGCACACCTCACTTATGAGTGAGTATAGCTTTCAGTCCTGGTTTTTGAACCATGGATTGATGAAAGCAGGATTAGTGAGTAGTTTCCTTCTCTCTCCATCATATGCCCTGGGTCCAGAGAGCCTATGCAGAAGCAGGAGGGGTGATCTAGTTCCTCCTTCCTGAAGGACCTGATCTTCCACAGAGTTCGCATTTCCTCTTCTATTGTTTTTCCTTGAGAGTATGTTACTCATCAACTTTTTCTGTTGGTCTGGAGCACTAAGAGGTTGCTATAGAGCCTTCAAGGCTTCAGTCATGTTTCTGCTACCCTTGTGCATGCCAAAGTCAATAAAGTGAAAAACTCCAAATGCCAGCTGGGGATCTGTCTTAGATACAGAGCAGAAGCATGCCCATGTGGGATCCAAAACCTGTGAGCTCCCAGTATCCCAAGTGTAAAACTACATGGTGCTGGGACCGTGCCTCTGCCTGTGTCTCTGCTACAACAAACTACACACTGTAAGCAGCAGTCCTTTGGCTGTGTCTTCTCTCTGCAGTCACTTTCAAGGGATGGACACTGAGAGCATGTTCCAGGACGTCCTGTCATTCCATGGGGTTACTGCACTTGGAGCTCCTAGTGGTCTATTGAGGTGCTCTAAGGACAGCCATGCATTTTTTGGGCTCCACTAACAGGGAGCCGCTGTTGTTAGATGGTGTTGGTGCACAGACACCTGTAGTGAAGCTAGCCCACTGTGGAGCCTGCCTGTTGTCTTAAGGCAGCAACTGTAGCACAGATGTTCACAGTGCCCATGCCATACCAGAACTTGTCACCTCTCATCCAAGTGCCCAGAGGCCTGGTCATGATGGGACTGAGGGCCCTGTTCCAACAGGTTGAAGGTGACTGTTCATGCCCACCTTTATGGCATAATACCTCATCTGTGCTCAGGGATTTAGCCCCGACTAGGCTAGCTCAGCAGAAAGCCAGACTCTGTTTCCTTCAGGAGAGTCAGTTTTCTGCTCGAGACAGTCTGGATCCACTCTAGAACCAAAAAGGTTTGTATCCTAGAGGCTAGCCAGAGGGTCTTTAGAGCCTCCCTCAGACCTCTTATTCTAACAGGAACACTTCAGACAAAAGCATCTTTTTATTTTCTATAAATAAAGAAATTAATAATATCTAAATTCCTTTTAAGTTTATATAATGCATAGCCTTTGGGGAGTCTGTGCAGTTAAAATGATAGAAGGGATAAACAAATGAAAATGAAATTGCCATTTGAGATTCATGTGTGGCTTGTTAAACCACATAAACCCATCCAGGAAACTGTAAATACGGATTCTGTGGCTCACTGTACTGCTGCAGGGTACAGACTCCCAGCCTTGCTGCCCAGTGTCTGGCTGCTTGCTGTTGATAAGGAAGGCAAGCCTGGGTTTTAGGGCACTTTCAGGATTTAGAGGTTCTTATGTGGCTTTTGCAGTAAGGTATAATCATGGTTTCTTACTAATGTTTTAAATTGCTCACCTATATAGTTTGATATCAGATTTTGTATATATATATATATATATTATATACATATATATATATATATATATATATATATATATATATATATATATATATATATATATATATATCTTATCATTCCAGCTCAAGGGACAGTTAAACATTCAAATCTTAAAAATTCTAAGTAGCCAGTAGATAAGTTGTTATAATAATGATTTTTCTGTTATCTGTCTGGATATCTAACTTGATGATTTACTGTCAACATTTGGATTTTGTTGTTTATACTTTTGTTTAATACAGTAAGACTGTCTTGTTATATGATCTGATGCAGGCTGACCTTAAGCTCATCATCTTTCTGCCTCAGCAACCCCAGTATTAGAACTGCAGGCATGTGCTATGATGCCTGGGTTTTGATTGTCTTTTTTTTTTTTTTTTTTTTGGTTTTTCGAGACAGGGTTTCTCTGTGTAGCTTTGCGCCTCTCCTGGAACTCACTTGGTAGCCCAGGCTGGCCTCGAACTCACAGAGATCCGCCTGGCTCTGCCTCCCGAGTGCTGGGATTAAAGGCGTGCGCCACCACCGCCCGGCTTGATTGTCTTTTTTTAAAGTTGACTTTTAGAATCAGTTTCTTCAGGAAGATTAAAAATATTAACGACTGACTGAATTGATGCATACTGCTTTGAATATATGAGAAAACATAAGCTTGGCAAATTTTCCAAGTAAGGAAAAAAAATAATGGTCTTTTTCCTTTCTACTCCTAGGAAAAATTCCTTTGGCTATCGGAAGAAAAGAGAAGAGAAGTTTACAGTGAGTACATAAAGTGGTGTGTGTGTGTGTGTGTGTGTGTGTGTGTGTGTGTGTGTGTGTGTGTACGCACTCACATGAACTCGTACACTTGGATACGCAAGAGCCAGAAAGAGACTTCAGGTATCTCATCAGTGTCTACCTTATTGTCTTGAGACAGTCTCTTACTGCACTGGAAGCCCACTGCTTGAAGTAGTCTGGCTGCCAGTGAGCTCCCTAGATCATTCTGTCTCCACCCATCAATGCTGCAGTTCCAGACACATTGCTGTGTTTATCTTTTACCTGAGTGCTAGGGATATGAATTCAGGTCCTTATATTTGCAGAGCAAGCAACTTTGTTCACCAAATCATCTCTCTAGCCCCAAATGCTTATTTTTACAAGACATTTAAATCTAATAGTAAGCAAACATCAGAGTTAACTACATGGATTAAGGATAAGATCTGAGGAGGAACTATGGTGATATTTTATTTGTATTAAAATGTTATTGTATGTTAATAAATAAAGTTGCCCGGTCAGAGCTATTAGCAAGCCATAGGAAAGCAGGGCAGTGGTGGCGTACGCTTGTAATCCCAGCTCTTAATAGGCAGAGCTAGGTAAGTCTCTGTGTTTTCAGGGATACAGCCATTATTGGATATACATGCCTTTAATCTCAATACCAATCATGGAAAACCTGGAGGCCTATACAGACAGGCCGTGATGAGGCGGTCATGTGGTTGGGTTTACAACCAATGAGAAGGCAGAACAGGAACTCTATATAAAGACTTTAACACAGGGGTAGCTCTGGTTTGGAGAGGTAGGACCACCACAGGAGGAAGGGTAAGGTTTTAACTCTTAGCTCTGACCTCTTGGCTTTCTTCTTTGCATTGGTTCTGTGTTTCTTATTTAATAAGAAGGTTGGTTACATCTACAAGGAACATTGCAAAAAAACTTTAATGTGATATCCTTAAGGTAATAACTGATATTTTTGGCCTAAAGAAGAAAGGATTGTGTAGTTTTTAGAAATACTGATGACCAGCTGGTTTATGGTGCTGTAAATAGTTACAGGTAGGATTCACTTTTATACTTAGTACAGTCTACATGTGGCTGCAGTGTGGAGAACTATAGTGGGATTATAAGCAGGACTTCTTCTCCCATCCACTGGGAAACATCTAAGACTCAGAGTGGATGCTAAAACCTTGGGTAATAGAAGGCATCTTGCCACACACAGAGTTTGTAGCTTCAGAAGTGCAAGGTGTAGCAGCCAGACGAGCCTAAGTTTGTCTCCCTTTGTGGCCCTGTGAGCAAAGGCTTAGTTTGTACCTTGGGACAGTTGAGAATAATCACCTTTTTCTCAACAGGAAGCACTCTTTGGCTTCTCTGTGGCTTATCTGACTTTCTAGTTACTGCTTTTGCATTTGGGCACCAACTACTTTTGCATTTGGCCACCATTATTAAATGAAGTAAGGGTTACTTTGAACAAGCTCTGTAAGATCACATTTGATCTGATTACCAAGAAGGCTACTAAGAGAGCAGTTGTGAGGGCACATAACCAGGTAAACTTCAGCTAAAAAATTTCCAGTACAGCCTGAATTTGTCACCTTAGATACATTTCATCCTTTAACTTGCTTACATTTGAATTTTTTAATATTACGTGTGTGTGCGTGCGTGCGTGCGTGCGCGCGTGCGCGCGTGCATGTGCATGTGCACATGCTTGGTGCATATATGAGGGTCAAAGGACAATTTATGGGAGTGTATTTTTTTCTTTCTACCATGTGGGTCCCCGGGGATTAAACTTAGCAGGAGGCATCTTTGAATCCTCTCGTTGGCCCACTGCTTGCATTTGAACTCTGCAATTTATCCTATTGGTCTAAATTTCAAGTTAAGTGAACACTAGAAATCACTCGTGCAACATTTATAGACTTTTCAGACAGATGTGACAGCTGGAAGATTCTTTGCCATACTTTTGTGCTACCCTTGTCCATCCACACTTGTGTGACCTTCTGGTGTGTCATTGTGTTGCAGAGCAGTCAGACTCAGTCTCCAACACCACCAAAGCCTCCATCACCAAGTTTCGAACTGGGGCTGTCCAACTTCCCCCCATTACCTGGAGCTGCAGGCAATTTGAAGGCAGAGGACTTGTTTGAAAACAGGCTTTCCAGCTTGATCATAGGATCTTCAAAAGAAAGAGTAAGCTATGTGTTACAGCTGTAAAGTTTGCTGATGTTTTCTGAGCACTGATGTTGTGCAGGGACCTGGCCCAAGTTCTTTACACACATTAAAAGGAGAAAGGAATTGAAAGAGGGTTAAGGTTTTGGGTGATTTGTGTTGCTCACTTGGTGTTGGAGCCAGGTCAAGTTGCCCTTCTCTTGCCATCTGCTGAGGTTGCTGTGGCGCCTGTGCTGTACAGGTGCATAGATTAATTGTTGCTGTTGACGGTTAAAGCCCTTTTGTTTCATGAAACAGAATGAGATACAAGAATCTGCATTACACCAGAAATAATCTACATAGTGTTAGTAGCCAGAAGCTTAAAGTCACTTTGTTGTCGTCTGGTGATTTCAGGCAAACGCTAGGCTGCCCCAAGGTCGTTCACTGCTGTGGTCACCACTGCTAGTCTCAGCTGAGCTACTCAAGTTCAAAGAGATTCCTTCCCAGAGCTCCTGCAATACAGTTAGCTAACAGCTTGGCAGTGGGATTTGCCCCCTGCCAGTAGCAGTGTTTCAAGGCTCTGGGACATGCAGAAAAAGGACTTTGTGCCCAGTTACTAAAGTATGACTGAGTGCCAGCCTGGTGGGGGTGAGGTGGACTTGTAGAGTAGTCCTGGCTCTAGGCATTTCTTATGTTGCAGTTGTCAGCTGTGGCCATACATCAGATGGTACATCTGTCTCGGGCAGAGGTGAGGGGCACCACTCCACAGCCAAGTGTAGAGCCACGGTAGTGGCTGCAGTAGTTAAGGCAGATGACTTTGCTACTACAGTATCTTGAGACTAAGGTCAGGTCAAAAGTTGAGTTCTTTTCCTGTTGAGAAGTGGTAATTGCTGCTGTTTTTAGCCATGGAAGCTATGCTTTCCAAGAGTCCATATTATCTAATAAGGGTAACATGTTAGAATTGGGATGTCTTAGAACTTACAAATCTTAATGTCCACATGAATAATTTCCAATTGCCTTATAAAACAGTAGAGAATTATGCATTTCAGCAGTTATGAAGTCTTGTTTTCAAGTTATGGTCTCCCTTAAGTGATAGGTAAATAACACTGGCAGCCCTCCTCAGTTTCACAGACAGTTGCTGCTTTGAGTGTACTTGAGTTTCTGTGCAAAGCCTTTCTTGAAGAAAGAATTACTGCTTTCTGAAAGGCGGGGCCTGGCTCTGTGGCCAAGTTACACAGTCTTTGCTGCTACCAGTGTTGCTGCATCTGCAAGAGCTACAGAAGACTTGGGACGTTAGGCCCTAGAACCCCTCCTTGCTCGACACAGGGTTTGTGACTCTCTGTAAAGTGTCACATGTGTCTGTTCAAATAGAGGCAGAGTTGAACATAAGTTGAATCTGAGCATGCTTTTACAAATAAGAAGTCATTGGCTGCCCTGTGTTTTAGCAAGCTCGGTCCCTTTCATGTGAGCAATCCTAAGTACCTCTGGTTCTCAAGCCAGCAGAACCTCACCCTAGCCCCAGAGAAGAGGGTAAACTGTGCCCTTCTCCCAAAGCTGCACTTCCAGCTACTTTGTTACCTTTGAACTTTTACCTACTTTGAAAAGAGAGGCAGTTAGAAAATTTTGTCTTTTTATGTTTAAACTTATAACCAATTATTTACTAGCTCTAAAATGGCATCCTAGGTTAATGACATATGAGTAAACTTGTATGAATTACAGCTGCACTGAGCAGGTCATTGATGGAGCAATTTCTCATTCACTCAGGTCTTAGCTTAGTGACCTTACCCGTTAAATTGGGTAAAGCAGGTTTGTAGGCCTGCTTCAGGGGTGGTTTGTGGATTCAGGTGAGAGCTCCTGTGGGTGTCTTCCACCTACCACCAAGCACTTAATTTATGTGGGTGTGGATTCGTCAGTCTTTGTTTTGTATTAGTAACACCAGTGAACCATAGTGTACTGTCTTGGTAATTCCATCCCTGCCTGGGGAGCCCTGACGTGTCAGATGAGTAAGGTGTGTTTGGAAGCTGTTCACTTAAGAAGACAAGCTTACAGATAATTACAGTGCATTTGCTGAGAGCAAGAGGGCTGAGTGCTGGGCAGCAGATAACAACTCAAAATGTTGTTGTGTTTGCTGGAGGCTTCTTCTCCTATGGCTTTGTGCTGGGACTTGGCAGTTTGTTGGTAGGACCACTGGTTCTGTTGGTTTGGAGGGTGGATACACCATTCAGCATCAGTCAGTCGGGGGTGGGAAGCAGACTCTACAGGTGGGTTAGAGATTGCCATGGTTTTAATGGTTAGACCCTTAACTTCTTGGGCAAAGATCTGACCGCTCGTAAATTGCTACTTTAATGATTTCAGAACCTCAGTGCAGATGCAAGCACAAACACCGTTCCCGTAGTGGTCCCCAGAGAGCCTTCCGTGGCAGCAGCACCCTGTGCTGTGGCAGCAGCATTTGAACGGTCCCCTTCCCCAGCCCATTTACCCGAGTAAGTATCAGTGTTCTACCAGCCCTCGGCCGTGTACAAGTGGGAATGACCTGTAATATTACACACGATTCTTAAACCAGATGGCATTTTCACAGGGATCCCAAGGTGGCAGAAAAGCAGAGGGAAACCCACAGTGTGGACAGACTCCCTTCTACCCCTACTACAACTGCATGTAAATCAGTGCAGGTGAATGGAGCAGCAACAGTAAGTGCTTTGCCTGCCTTCCACAGCTCTCAGGCGTTCTATATAGGTCCTGCCTCAGCCTGTTTTTAGTCATTCTAATAGATTGGTTTTCATTTGTGTGTGCCTTCATTTCTCTATACCACATTGCTGAGCCTCTCTATTTCAGTTACTATCTCTCAGATAGTAACAAGGTCCCAAGGTTGATCATTTCTGCATTTACTATGTGTATTGTATATATGAAAAAGAATTAAGCAGAATGACTAAAAAGAACAACATAGTGTTCTTTTTGCCTTGTTTAAATTCCAGTGTTTCTGCTAGGTATAGTGGCGCAGGCCTTTAGTTCCAATGCTTGGGAGACAGAGCAGGACAATGCCTGCAGGTTTGAGGCCCCTGGTTTACATAGCAAGTTGCAGCCAGCCAGGGACACACAGTGATACAGTGAGTCCTTAAGTCTAGTAGTTTCTGTCCTTGATGATCTAGCATCTCTTATACAGATTTGCATCTTCCTCAGCTTGGTGTTGAGGTAAGTCTTTAAGTTAAAATTGCATTAGGTATGGTGGCACGCACCTGTAATCCCAAGACTTAGGAGGCAGAAGCAGGAAGATCAAATTTCCACAAGTTCTGTGTAAGTGCCAGACCAGCTAGGGCTACACAGTAAGACTCCATCTTAGACTTAGGAAGTGGAAGTAGGAGGATCAGGAGTTGAGCGCAACTCACATACTGAGGCTAGCCTGCACTACATAAGATACTATCTCAATAAATAGATAGATAGATAGATAGATAGATAGATAGATAGATAGATAGATAGATAGATAAATGAAGAAGGCTCACAGGACCACTGTGCCACACCATCGCAGTTTATTCCCTATGTAAGCAGAGCACTTGCAGATGTCCTGTCTTAGATCAAGGGAAGCAGGGTTTGTACCTTTTTTTCCCCCCTTGAGCCTCTTAAGCTCCCATATTTCTCGAGAATGCTTAAAGGCTTCATGCTGGGCAGAGTTTGGTTACCATTTCATGTTGTTAGCCATGTTAGAGGGGTTAGCTCTATAGTATCTTGGGAGGAAAAGTGTACTGCAAGGGAAGGGAGTGGTTTTTTTGTTATGTTTTGTTTTTTTTTTTTTTTTTAACCAAAACATCTGTGTTTTTTAAGCTTTAAAAAAAAAAAACAAATTTTTCCAAAAAAACATGATTAGCTTAGAAAAATGGATGTATTTTCTTTTCACAGAAACTTAGCTTTATAGAGTCTAGACAAACAAATAAAAAGCCAGAATCTAACATAAGTCAAGGAAATCCATTCATGCTTCAGGCTCCTCTCCTCGAGGAAGCAGCCTTGTTATATTATTCCTCTTTAGTAACCCTTCGTCCTTCTTTAGTAATTTCAAACTCTGTGACTTATTCCAGCACCAGCTGGCAAAGTCATCAAATCCTAGAAATGTACCAACAGTTGTGTCTGAATTAGGGTTTTTATTGCTGTGAAGAAACACCATGAACATGGCAACTCTTAAAAGGAAAACATTTAATTGGGTGGCTTACAATTCAGAGGTTCAGTCCATTATTATCATGGCAGGACATGGCAGCGTGCAGGCAGACATGGTGCTGGAGAAGGAGCTGAGTGCCCTACGTCTTGATCTGCAGGTAACAGGAAGTGAACTGATCTAGGTGAAGCTTGAGCATAGGAGACCTCAGAGCCCACCCTTACAGTGGCACACTTTCTCCAACAAGGCCACACCTCCTAATAGTGCCACTGCCTGTGAGCTTATGGGGCCAGGTACATTCAGACCACCACTAGTTGCTCTGTCACAGTGAGAATTCTTGATCCTATATGCTTGTCCATAGCTCTAGTGACGGGAACTTTAATGATAGTCATTTTAGCTGCCATGGACATGCCAGAAGTTGCTACTGGAGTTTGTGAATGTTTTAAAAGTAAAAATACCCATGAAGATGGAATTTTACTTAAAATTAAAGTTTTATTTTACGTAACTTCATTCTTGTCACTTTGTACCCATAATCCCACATTTTGTGTTTCCAGGAATTGCGAAAGCCCAGTTATGCAGAGATCTGTCAGAGAACAAGTAAAGAGCCTCCGTCCTCCCCATTGCAACCCCCAAAAGAACAAAAGCCAAACACTGTCGCCTGTGGGAAGGAGGAGAAGAAGCTCACTGAACCTGTGGAGAGATACAGAGAGCCCCCTGCCCTCAAGTCCACTCCTGGGGTCCCCAAAGATCAGAGGAGGCAGCCTGGGCGCCGACCCTCGCCTCCAGCTGCTGGGAAGCGTCTAAACAGGGAACAGAACACTCCCCCCAAGTCTCCTCAGTGAAAGCCGGATGCCTGGGAGGGGTCTGGAAGAGCTGTATTCACCACAAATGAAGCTCTCCCACTCAGTACGGAATGAGCCGCTGGTTAGGAGCTTGCAGTGTCTGTGAGGCCCATGGGATGCCTGCAAGTTATTTTCCTTCTGTGAGTCGGATTTTCCCCCTCTTGAAAAAAAAAAATCTATTTTTCAGGATTTAATTATATAATATAAACCTTATTTTAGGTTGGTGCTTAACTGGAGGTGATGCAGAAGTCTGTTTTTCAGGATAGAAAATGTATTTATCCTAACAAATGGATATTTTTTATTAAGCCTCCACGTGGCTCTGAATGCAAGCTATATATGAGTTTTTCTAAATTAAGGGAACTATGCTACTTCATTTTTTTTTTTTAAACAACTGGTCTGCAAGTGCATATGGGTAGGGTGTCCCCAACAGATGGATGAGGGCTAATGGCGCAAGCAGGGGCAGCCTTGGCCTCACAGAGCAAGGGACTGGCAATGTCAGGGCACTGGCATACTGGCACAGGAGCTGTGTTTTCATCTAAACCGTTAGTTGACAGGAAATTCTAGCTTTAAAAAAGATACCTATGTATATACAGTTCTTTTTGACCTCGTGGGCAGAAGGACCTGCAAAGAGCACCCTAGAAAGACCTGAAACCTTTGAGTTTGGATGTCCTGCGAGCAAGTAACCAGCTTCTCACTCCAGTTCCAAGTGGCTATTATGTAAAATAAATTCAAAGCACATTGTGAATAGAACCTAGATGGAAATAGAAACTCTGTTGCCCACTGACATCATACCATGAAGTTACACCATGACGTTTTGGTCCCTGTGAGCAGGCTGCCTGGCTCCCAGCCTCGAATGCTTGCTCTGTCCGTGTCCCCCCACGCATCCTTGCTGGAGAGTCGTGTCTTAACCAGCTCTGTGTGGATGTCTTCCTGTACCTCTGCTTCGGCACATGGATTTAGAAGTACCTAGCCGTGAGAGAGTGGTGTTTGTGGTCCCCCCTCTGGCTGGTGGAGGACAGAATCCTTGCTCTTTTTACCTCCAAGACGAGGGTCTCACTGATTCTTTCTAAGAAGCGCTGCTGCACTTGTGAAGAACAAGGGTGCAGTAAAGTTAGCAAGTTTATAATAAAGTTACAGATAAATTATTTTGTTTTAAAATGCCTAAAATTTTTCTTTAAGTATTCTAAGCAGCAGACATTAAAATAGTTCCTGCTAAGTGTAACCATACAGCTTATTCCACAAAATGCTATTTAATAAGACTGAACTTTGTTTTGGTTTTGGGTTTTTTTTTTTTTTTTTTGGTTTGGTTTTTTTGTTTTTTCGTTTTGGTTTTTTTTTTTTTTTTTTTTTAAAGAAAAAATGATTTCCATCCAATATTTAAAGACTTGAATTTTATTTAAACTTGAAAATGACTTTGCCTTAACTTTTGTATAAGACAGCTTAGAGCTCACGGAGACCGGCCCCTGGGTTGGTGGGAGTGGATCGGTTACTCAGTCACCGTGCGGATCTCCTGGTAGTGGTTTTGCTGAGTACACATACTGTTGTACAAGAACTCCAGTGGTTTTTGTAACATACCTTACAGATCTTCGACAATTGATCTTTTTTCAAATTGTTGAAAAATCCTGTAAATGCAAATAGTCGCTACTGTGTTAAATCTGTGCACTTGGGAGTGTACTCTGCCTGTACAGTGTAAATAATCAGAACATATGAGAAAGGTACCCTACAGAGAAGAATCTGATAAAAATTATTGATATATTATAAATGTTACTGTTGAGCTGGATGTAGATAAACTAAATGTTGTGGTTTGAGTATTATTTTAATGTGTTAAGGTTTTTCTTTTCCCCTTATACTGGTGTGTTGAACTGATTTTGCCTCTTTGCTGCAAAAGGGAAATGGGAAGTCTTATTAAAGCCTTTGGATGTTTTCATACTCTTAAAAAGTATGTAAGTACATACTAATCATATCTGATGTTTAAGGGTTTTGAAGGAGAGTATAGAGAGCAGAGACTGGCAGGATCTTCCAATGAGAGTAAAAAACAGAAATGTACTAATTAAAATCATACTTTGCTAAGTGATTTATCCTGCCAGAGGCAAAGATGCCTGATGCATGTGACCATTTCCTTCAGAGCAGCTGTCATTCAGTTACATAGGAATATATGCAGTGCTGTTTCAAATGCCTGTGAAAGGAACATAGGATGAATTTCCTTGTAGATGTCACATCACTGACAAAAAAAAAAAAAAAAAAAAAAGAAGAAGAAGAAGAAACAACAACCAGCCTCTTGAACCCACACTAGCAGATACCGTCTATCTGGAAAGGCGAGCCTGAGGCCTCAGGTCTTTCCCATCACATCTTTCCTGGAAGAGGGGCCAGATTATGATCAGCATCCCTTATCCCCAAGGGTGCTCTCACAGAGGATCCTTGAGTTGTAATGAGAAGTCCTTTCCCCAAGGCTGAGCATTGCAGCACGAAGCGTGTGTGGCAGAGCCAGCTGTAGATGCTTGCTGGCTGCTGGCTGGAGTAGGCTCAGTGGCCGCATGCAGAGCCAGCTGGGCATGTGCACGAGGTCGGGACACTGTAATCACTGCTTAGCCAGTGACAGCCTGGCACCAGGATCTAAAGCCTTGCTCAGATGTGATTTTTTTTTTAATAGCACTCTTTTTCAGGAAGCAAAGGTGATATGCCAAATAGCTGTGTGATGTCAAAACAGAGACTTCCTGATCACTGAGGTTTTCCACTCAGAAAACAATGGAGTTATCACAATAGGAAGCTGTGGAGGGTGCATGCAGACTCTTGCTATGTCACATACAGCAAGCGTGATATGTGGTTTTCATAATCTATTTTTTAAGTTTACTCATTCCTTTCAGTATCTCAAGGTATAGAATCAGAGATACCACAGTCACAAATGATATTTTTAACTTGTAAAATTGTGTGATGATACTTAATTATCATATGGAAATATGGAATAGGAATCTGGCCCCATTTCACCAGACATGAATTTCAAGTGATTCCGCTCTCAGTAGTCAGTGTCCTGATGTCTCTGTGAATCCTTCCTGTCATTGCATCACTGGTTGCCACTGGTGGGTGGCAAAGAAAAAAAGAAAAAAAAAAGAAAAAGAGGGAAAAAAGAGGAAAAAAAGTCTTACATTGCTGTATTAGGGTTTCTGCAGTTGATATCGAAAAACTGGTCCAGTTTGTCACCGCAGGCGACTGATGGTGCATACCTGTCTTTGTGTCCCCTTCAGTGAGCTGTAGTTGTGGGTTTGTGTGCTTTGTAGCCTGTTATACGGAAAGCAGCAGACAATCGAAGATTCCAGGAGTGCTAACAGCTGCGAGTCACAGAACGGGAGTGTAACGTGGAAGCTTGCCTGAGGGTTTCTGTTTCTGTCCTACTTTTCATTAAGACTGGAATCAAGCTTACATGTAAACTATCGGTAATTTAAGTTTCCTTTTGTCATTCAGTGTAAAACTGTCTAATTTGAAAAAAAAATGTAGGTTATGAAAAATAAAAGATTTAGGCACTGTTCAATTTTTCTTTTGATTCTTTCAAATTAAAATTTTCCTCAAGAATACATCTTTTTTTCAAGATGTTGTTTGTTTCACTCTATTCCCATCACTCTGCATGAGGATGATAAACAGGGGCCCAGATATAGTTCAGGGTTTGAAGTCTTCCAGCCCCTCATGTAAGTTGGTCACCCACACTGTAAGATTGAAACATACAGCCTGTTGTGTGAGGAACAGAACCCAGGTCCTCTTTCTGAAAGAGTAACAAGTGCTTGTAACCGCTGAGCCATCTCTCTAGCCCCCTCCAGTATATCTTTTTTGTTTGTTTTGTGTTGACCTGAAACTAGTTGTGTAGACCAGGTTGGTTGGAACTCGGCTCTTCCTTCAGAGTTCTGGGATTCAGCATGCACCACCACAGAGCTCCCAGTGTTTCTCAGTAGTGAGTTATTTCCCCAGATTTGTGATGCCTCTTGGTTACCTCCCACCAACCACCTCCATATACCTGAGTCTATCTAGGCCCTGTCTCTCTTTCTGTGACACCATTCCCTGTAAATGACCTGTCTTCCATTATTCCCAAGAGTTTCTCTTGTGCAGCTCATCCCAGGTTCAGGTAGGTGTGTCCCTGAAGGCGGGTTTTCCATCCCTGAGAATCTCTGTTCTACTTTCTGTGTTTGCTGGTTACGTGGTCTCCATGCACAGCACTGGCCTCAGAAAATTAAGAGGAGACAGTGTGAGACTTGGTTTGCTGTGCCTTGTAACGAAGCACAGTGATTTGCAGGGATAATTGCAGCACCGGGGATTGCCTGCTCGGCTTGGCTGGTGGTTCTGTTGATCAGCATGGCTCACGGTGATAGGCAAGGACCAAACGTTGGTTAACATACATACACAGAGAAGTTTGAAATTAACTAGCTCCTTCCTTGCTTTCTCCATATCTTAACTTTAAGATCCTTTCACAAGTCACTGGAGAAAACAGCCAATAGAGTAGCACTGTAGACAGCTGGCTGGGTCCAAGCAGTTCCTGAGCCAGGTAAGCCACAAGCTTACTTAGATTAAAGGCTGTGGGCTTTTCCTGAGATGCCGGGAGCTGTAGGAAGGAAACTCAGAGAAGAAAAGCCCCTACCAGGTTCCCACTGATTAGAGGTTTCCCAGTGCTTCAAGAATCTTCACTCTCAAGAGTGACTGTCAGACAGTCCATGGCTAGGTTGCTTGGCCAAATAAGCTGAGCCCTGCCCTCACAGAGCGGGGAGGGTGGCCAGGCCACAGGTGGGAGGGGGCTCTTCTAAGTGGGGTCCTGGGGGGTAGTGCTGTTGTTGGAGTTGAACAATGATGAGTGCCCAGAATGGACAGCTTGACCACGGGGTCAAGATGGCTGAACTAAGGCAGGCTGGCTGTGGTGGAGGAAGCATAGCCTCTAGGGGAGCTGCGGCCTCCCAAGGAAGTGTCCCCTTAGTATGTTTGGGGTGGAGGGGCCCGACAAGGACCCCCCAGGTTCTCCAGAGTAACAAACTGTAGGTGGAGTCTTGGGTGTGCTGTGTAAATACAGTATTCTGTGTTCAGTCTAGGAAGTTCTATCAAATGGCCCTGAGCGCAACAACAACAAAAAAAAAGTGGGAGCTTCTACTGGTAAAACATGGACTATGGTGGTTCTTGTCCTCAGGCCACAGTAGTACTTTTTTTTTTTTTTTAAGTTTTTCGAGACAGGGTTTCTCTCTGTATCCCTGGCTGCCCTGGAACTTGCTCTGTAGACCAGGTTGGCCTTGAACTCATAGGACCAGGACCAGGACCAGGCTGGCCTCGAACTGAGAGATCTGCCTGACTTTGCCACCGAAGTGCTGGATTAAAGAAAGTCGTGTGCCGGGACTGGAGAGATGGCTCAGTGGTTAAGAGCACTGACTGTTCTTCCAGAGGTCCTGAGTTCAACTCCCAGCAACCACATGGAGGCTCTCAACCATCTCTGGTGCTTATAATAAGTAGCTAAATCTTTTTTTTGTATTTTTTTAAAATGTACATTGGTATTTTGCCTGCATGTCTGAGTGAGGGTACTGAATCCCCTAGAACTGACGTTTCAGACAGTTGTGAGCTGCCATGTGGGTGCTGGGAACTGAACCCGGGTCCTCTGGAAGAGATGTCAGTGCTCTTAACCGCTGAGCCATCTCTCCAGCCCCCAAATAGCTAAATCTTAAAAAAAAAAAAAAAAAAAGTCATGTGCCGCCAGCACCTCGGTCAGAGACAATGTCTCAAAAGACCAAAAAAGAGAAGAAAAGAAAATGCCACTAGGCCAGAGTGAGTGAGTGCTGAATGCTGAAAGGACCAGGACCAGGCTGGCCTCGAACGGAGAGATCTGCCTGCCTGTGCCTCCCAAGTGCTGGATTAAAGAAAGTCGTGTGCCAGGGCTGGAGAGCTGGCTCAGTGGTTAAGAGCACTGACTGTTCTTCCGGAGGTCGAGTTCAATTCCCAGCAACCACATGGTGGCTCTCAACCATCTGTAATGAGAACTGGTGCCCTCTTCTGGCCTGCAGGTATACATGCAGGCAGACCACCAGGACCAGGACCAGGGATTAATCCGAGTGCTGGGATTAAAGGTTTGCATCACTGCCAGCTCAGCAGTACTTCTTAAGTGTGTCCTCAGCCTGGCCGTGGGAAGAATGCTTACTAAAATCTGTTTTCTGGCTCCATCCCAGGCTCACTGAAGAGGCCTAGAAATCTTGTGGCCTGCTGTGGTTGGACCAGTTTGAATGATCTGGGGGGGATGAAGGACTACAGTAGATTGGTGTGTTCTGGAGCACTGGGTGTCTTACACTGTGATTTGGGATTTGGTCCATTTGTAATTCTTCAGACCTGCGATGTGCCCTGACACAGAAGCGTTGGGTTTACCACATTGTATTCTAAGGATTGAGCTGTGAGGTCTTGAGAAAACCAGCAGACAGCAGAGGGAACGTGACAGAAGTAGAGGGTGGGGAAAGCCAGCTCAGCTTATCCTTCATTCTACACATAACCTCCAACTCACCCCACACTTGTTCCTTCCAAACAGAGTTTGGGCTGCTAGGATGGTCTGTGGAGGCCTACACTGGTGGGAAGACCCAGTTCCCTAGCCATCGCTGCCCCAGGGTGTGCAGGGAGACCTCCTATTTAGTTGTCAGCTGTCTCTCTGGGCCCACCCAACCTAGTAATGACTATGGGACAGAAGAGGTGTTTTCAGTAATTGATTGGGCAGTCCTTTTCCTGGGGGTAGAATTTGAAAACAGTGCAGAACCCAGTACCCTCCTGCACAAAGCCTGCTCTGTGGCCAGTGCTCCCAAGGACCACTGGCGTCCACATCAAGAGAAATGCCAGAGTCGAATTTGCACATAGCCTTCTGCTGGCGTGCCATGAACATGAGGTACTGTTGGCATGCTCGCCCAGCACACAGGCAACTGTTAAGAGTCAGCAAGATGTGGCTTTGGCCAGAGTCTAGAAAGAAGCAAGTAGCCCCATGGAAATCAGCAGTGGGGAGGGAGTCTAGTTCATTTCCTCTTCTGATTGCTTTGGGTTCATCTTGCTCCTTTTCCTAGCTAAGATTTTGGATTATTAGCTTAAGAACTTGTTTTCTAGTATAAACTGTAACTTCCTCGCACTTGTAGCCTAGTTCTGAATGTGTTTGGTTCCCTTCAGTGTCCTTCTTGTACTGTGGGCTGTGGAGAAGTGTGTTATTCAGCTGCCAACTAGCTGGGGATTGTCCTGTTGTCCTCCTCTTTCACATTGTTAAAATGATTCCATTGTGGCCAGAGGACACTACGATGTCATTCTTCTTGAAAGTGTGTGGCAGAGCCGGACATGGTGCGCCTTTAATCCCAGCACTCAGGAGGCAGAGACAGGTGGATCTCTGTGAGTTTGAGGCCAGCCTGGTCTACAAAGTGAGTTCTAGGACAGCCAGGGACACACACAGAGAAACCCTGTCTCAAACAACCAAAAAAAAAAAAAAAAAAGGGTCGGGGGTGTGAGGACTGTTAGAACCGCATGTGCTTACCTTGGTAAAAGTTGTATCCTTCGGAGTAAGGGGGTTGGTTGGTGGTTCTTTGTCTTGCTGACTGTATCTAGTTCTGTTTCTTGCAGAAGGTGGAGTAACAGCTGTAGTAACAGATATGCTTATTCCTGTGTTTCGCTATTTGCTCTTTCCAGCATAGTTGGGTTTTTGCTTTACATATTTTTGAAACTCTGTTGTTTGATATATACATGTTTAGGTTTGCTGGATCTACCCCTCTGTTGTTAAAGAATCTCCCTCTAGGACCCTATTAATTTCCTTTGCTCTGACCTTGCTTTATTTGAGACTAATACACCAATTTCTGGTTTTTTTTTTTAATTAATTTGTGTAGGACACTGTTTCCTTTTTTATTTTCAACCCACCTGTGCCATCATATTTGAAGTGAGTTGCTTGTAGACAGGATATGGTTGGATTGTGCTCATTCCATTCTACCATTTTCTGCCTTTTACCTGCTGTACATAGCACTTTTATAACTACAGTGATTGCCATTTTTTGTCTCCCATTTGCTTTCTATTTCTTGTTGGTTTTTTTCACTTATTATTATTATTATTATTATTATTATTATTATACATTTATTTATTTGGGAAGTGGACGCAGAAGGTAGAAGACAACCTTCAGGAGTCAATTCTCTCTCCCACCAGTTGAGTCCCACAGATTGAACTTGGCGGCCAGGCGTGGTTGGCAAATTCCCCTTCCTACTAAGCCATCTCACCAGGCCATGGTCTGTCTCTTTCTCTTGCATTCCTGGATGTCATAATTTACCAATTCTAAATCCATCACTAGGAATCATCATGAGAAAGAAATCCAGCAATGCTCTGTACTCATCAAATTACCTTTGCCAGGGTAGGCTCTCCTGGATAGTCACTCCATGAGTGACCTGCTACATTTTTTGTTTTTTGTTTTGTTTGTTTGTTAAATAAGATTTTAACTGCCTACTTCCTGGGGCTATTCAGAATTCATGGTGAGCATTTGGAGCCCCCACCCCCATCGCACTCCCCCACCCC